AAAAGTATGTCAGCATGTCACGTGCACCACACCAGAACGACTCTCCTCAATAGCTCCCCATATTATGTGGAGGAGCGCAATGTAGCTCAAGGCTGTAGTCTCCTTTTGATGATGAAGTACACTATGCACTACTATCATTGTATTGCCAGTACAAACGACAGCGGTGCTTTCTCATTTTCCGATGCAGCGTTGCTGGCGACCCCACTGTGTTTGCGTGCTTTCCGGGGGGGGGGGGGGAAGTCCGGGGGGTTCGGGGACCGGGGGATCAGGTCCAGACCTGAGTCGTCTGAACGGGCAAATTCGTTGTAACTTCGCATTTCCTGCAAAGAAGCATGTTTCAACAATTGCGCTCCCATAACCGGCAACATCGAGGACCTTCGAAAATGATGGTATTTACAATGACGTCGGCATGCAAGCGTGGTGGTGATCGACATCTGCCGGTGTTTTTGGACATGCTCTCCAAAGCAACCTCACACAGAAACAGTCGAACAAATCGTGATGTTGCACTCTATAATGCAAAGACGCATAGAACTCGGCGGGGTCACTAATCACGCCGTAGCCTTGTTCTTCTTTGTACCACTGATACCGCGATTATCACAAGTCTCACTTTACTACGATAGTCGCTGTCATTACATATGATGTTTTTTAGCCTCTACTGCCCGAACAGCTTTTTCAACACACGGGTTCCAACGTTCACGGCTTAGCTCTTGCCCTAGGCGCGGCGCTCATTTTGGATCGATGTCGTGTTTTCCTCCGTCCGGGCTTGACTACGGGATTCATCGTTGCAATGTTCGCTGCCAGTCGCTCTCTCGTCTCGTCCCCTGTCGTCTTGTGGTGTTTGAGATGGTGCTCTTGCCTCGGTTCCATATTGCATTCTCCTGGTGAGGTGCATTTTGCCTTTGATCGTGCTTCTCTTGGTGATGTGCTTGGCCAAATTCTGGCCAACGTGATGATTCTGTTATTTGTACTTTTTTGTTGTCGTCGCCGTTGCCTTCTCGTCATCATTGTTGTTGCCTTCATTTTTAGCGGTATTGGTTCGATGGCTGTTGCAGTTGCAATTCCGGTGCTTTTGCTGTTTGCTATTGCTATTGCTAGTGCTTTTGCACTGCATGGCTTTACTACTGTTGTTCTTACTTTTGTTTTCATTACTAGTGTTGTCATTATCATTGGTATTACAACGGTCATTTGCACGGTGAGTTTCACTCTCATGACCATGACTACTACTATCTCTATGAGAACTGATAGATGATATCTTTACCTCCACTCTGGTTGCAATGGTGGTTGCTCTTATGCAAGGACAGCATCTGATGTGTGTGACGGGTCCCTCAACTCAGGTCTCATTGGGGACATGGGCGAGGAGCGATCGTGTAGTCTCTGAGTGGTGTTTGTTGCGCTGTGCGTTCCTCCTACACTGCCCTCTTGTGCTCTCGCCTGGCTATTCTTTGGCATGTACCCATCTTTTCAGGCATGTGTCAACCCTCCGTTGTCACACGGCTAATGGGCGGGAGGTGGCAGGAGGGCACACGCCGTGACTCAGCGACAGTGCGCTTGACCACGTCCAGGAGGCCTTCCTTACCTTCTCCAATGCTGTGGAGTATGGCAAAGTGAGGCAACTCATGCCGTCTGGAGTGTCACTCTGTAGAAGGCTGCTGTCGGAGGCTGTGGTAGGAGGCTGTGGTAGGAGACTGCGGTACGTAGGAGGTTGTAGGAGGCTGTCGGAGAAGCCGTCTGCAGATAGCTGCAGCCCAAATTAGCATGGGAGCGTCCCTGCAGGGACGACATTCGTGACGCAACGGCTGAGCCCTGAGATTCGGGCTGATGCTCTTGAAGACCCGGCTCTGCATCTGGCGACTTGGGAAGGTCATCGTGGCTGGCGAAGCGCCTCGAAGGTACACTTGTCGTTTTTTGATGGAATCCCAGATGAGCAGGTGTTCACTGCCAGGCTGCATGATTGCCGAAGTATCTCTGGTGAAGATGACGCGTCGGTGGCTGCACCCATGCGCCGCTTCGTCCTATCCTTCAATTGTCCGCTTGAGGTTGCATTCTGAGTTTTGCTGTATGCGCTGACGCTGTTCTCACGGGCAGCAGCTGATGAGTGTTTTCTCGCGAGGTTGGCCAGACGAATTGGATCAGGCCGACAAGCCGACTGACGATTTGTCCCGCAATCGGTCCAACCCCTCTCCCATCGCATCCCTCCCTGCAAAGATCTGCAAAAGATGCAAAAGTGTCCCCATGTGTCCCCCCACGTTTCCTCAATTTTCCTCATGCGCAGAGCTCGTTGCTGCCCGTCCCACAGCCCTTCCCAAACAGCCTTCAGGTTGGAAGTCTATGATGCGGGTGCTGGAGGTGCCACTGTGGGGCAGCTGCAGATGGCTTTGCCCTGAGAGATCTTGGGGGAGGGGGAGCCCAGGAGATGTCAGGTATTGTCAGGTCCACGTCTTGCGTTCCATCTGCCCAGGCCACTGCGCCCTTGTCGGGCAGTTTCCTCGTGGGCCACAGCGGCACATGGAGCGCGGCGATTGAGGTTCACACTGGGTTCACCTGAGTTCACATGGTTCAAATTCCATAATTTTCCCTCAGCCGGAGAACATGAGTCCAGGCTAGAACTGCCACACGCAGCTGGACACACATTTGCTCAAGGATCACAGCCATGAGGACACTGTGGCAGGGTCGCGATTTCTTTGCTTCAACGCGTCTCTCGGGCAGCCCCTCTATTTACTCTATTTTCAGAAGTGCTTCAGGAGACCTGCAGCTGATCCGGCCGGGCAGCTTGAGTTGGAGCTGCTCACCCAGCAGAACCACAGTTTGCAAACGCGCAGCGTTTTTTGACGAACGCGTTTTGCCGGATGGGCGGGCGCTGTGTTTTTATTGTTTTGGTGGGTCGAGGTGCTGGAAGCACCCCTGGGGCTGGAGCACCAGTCTGGGAGCCTTGCACATGTCAGCACATGTCAGCACATAATAGCACGTGTTTGCACCTCAGCTCCTGCAGAGCTTCTCAGGTGAAAGCCTTCAGGTCCTCGTCCGCTTTCGCCGGCCCATCGGCAATGTACCCGAGCTGGAGCTCAACACTTCAGGCTTGCCACGCGATGTGAGAGGTCAAAGAGCTAGAAAGAGATCAGGGCACCAATAATACGTCCAGACTTCCAGTGCCCCTTGCCCGGTGACGACCTTGCAGGTTTGCAGGGAACTGGCTTTCAGGTGCAGGCCAGAATGTTTGAGAGCGGATACTTGTTTCCAAGAGCTGGCACGTTTACATACTTGATCATACGTGCAAGATATATCAAAGGTGGTTGAGCCGCGCTTTTGGTAGCTCTCGGTTTTGTGACGTAAAGAGATGCGAGGTCTTCACCCTGGAAGATGGTGATGCTGATGCAATCTTCTTTGAAAACGTGCGGGCCCATTCTTCGTGTCGCGATGCCTCCGCCCCATGTGTGGGTCCCTTGTTGGGTACCCATGATAAGGCGGCACCCTTCAAAACGGATCGCAAAAAGGGACCCTAACTTCGATAACTACCCACATGCTTTGCCTCTTGCGTGGGGCCTGCGGTCTTTTTTCGTGACGGATGTTCCAACATGGTTCCAGGTTCCCCTCGAGATGTTCCAGGCCGACAAGCGGATCCTTGTGATTGTCCTCCTTGTTTGTCGATTGTCCGTTTGACCCCGTGTTTTGTATTCGAAAGGTGCCGAGGCCGCCCGACGTGGCCGTAAAGCCGGTCCGCGTCGTTTCAGAGGGAATCCTCGGTGCCTACGGTGGTTCCAGCCCGATTGGTGGCAGCCTTGTCCTGTTGGTTTCTGCTGGCTGCGTCATAGAGACCTTCTTTCATGGAAGAAAGAGCATTCAGCTGGCAGTGCATTGCAGAGCCACGCTCCAGCGAGGGCGTCTGCTGAGGCTACACATATTCAAGCGGCCTGGTGCCCATATTGCACAGCGCAATGCCGGCCAGCGTGACTGCCGATGACAACCTGCGCGCTCCTCACATCACACCATGGTCTGCATAATGAACAATGTTGACAATGCGCATGCAAAAAGTATCAACCAATCAAGGACTTTGGTCATCAGCAACATACAGTCCTACAATTCGACAGGTTGGATTGAGGACTAAATGACATGCTGATTGGCGTTCCATTGTGAGCCCATGCCTCTCCTTCACAGGACTTGCAGGTGGTTTTGGGCGAGGATGCTGGCCATTGCAAGGCCGCGTTTTGTTGATCATGCCTTGAAGCCACTAGGATTCACTGAGCCTGGTGCATATTTCCGGCCATTCTGCAGCTTCCATTCTGTTCTTGGTGTCAACCTGCTGCTTCTGAATCTCTCACGGGTTGCCTGCAGCAGGATTTGCATGAGGTCTCGGAGGACCAGGGCAACATCACGATAATTTGCAGGCCGGAGTCCAACATCATTGCAAGTGTCTCAAGAGACATGATTGCGGTTGCCTGCTGATGAATCCATGACAAGGCTGGACAATGCACGAGCTGGAGTGCCAGGGCCTCTTGTGCGATTGTACAGGTCACGTGACACCGGAGTTGCGACCATAACAGTGTAGTCTTTGGTGAAGTGTAGCTTTGGCTGCACGTGGCATGCAACTATGCTTGCAGGGGCAGGTTTAGAGGATTGTTATTGGGAGAAGGCTCAAGTATTTTGGTCTGCAAGCGCTCGGTTCACAGTAGGACTTGAGAGTTCAGCAACTGGAGAGGGTCTGTCCTCCGGCAGAAAGTTCGGTTGTTCACTACATTCGGCCCAGAGCACGATTGCAAGTGTGATCCCTGGCAACAGGAAGATCCCGCAGGGCTTGTACGTTCCCCAAAGATTGCCAACTTAGCAGCCTTTCTGAAACTTCTACGGGAAAGTTGAAAGGCCATGAGATTCTCGTTCTTGTCTCGCCCCAGCGCCATCAACTCCGACTGCAACATCAGACCATTTTTTTGCGTCGGAGATCCGTGAAAGACTTGTTCCGCAGCATCAGAAGCAGGTACGCAATGGTAAGTATGAGGCCCAGATTGCAGTACAGCCTCAGGCATGCCGTGCACCTCATTTCCGTCTCCCAGGGACAGGCGGATCCGACTCAGGCCGGTTCTTCCACTTCTGGGATGAGCATGGCCGACGCACTCTACCTTTGCATGTCCTGGATTGACAGGCTCCGTATGTATCGGTGGAACCGGTGGTGGAAGAGGTGTGGTTTAGAGTTGCATGCGAATGGCTTCTTCTGTTCATACACAGCTTCAAAGGTGTCTGGACTTCTTGGGTCTTTGGCTGGTGGGACTGCCTGGGCCTGAGATAAGTCTTTGACTTTGAGTCCCACACCTTCTGGTGCACAGTTTGTACTGACACACCTCAGAACGGCATAATGTGACCCCACCATGACAGTAGGCCACCTTTGCTCTCACTGCCGGCAATGCGTTGTTTCGCAACAGCTGGTGGCGTGTTTCTTGCTGCGGTGCATGCTGGTTGGTCTTTTGCAAAGCGATCAGACAAGGGGGGGGGGTCCATAGTATTGGTACCTTCTAGTTGAGCAAAGCTTCGAGGTCAGCCGACACCTGATACCACAGCTTTCTGCACGATGATACTCGACTCGAAGCTCAATCCCATGAAGCACGCCCTGGGCTGGAAACATGATAAACCCCGCCAGGCAAAGTCAAAACCCTTGACTCTCAATGTCTTCTACAGAGGCTCCACACTCCGATGGCTTTCTGCACTTCCCGCTCAATGTGTTCTTCTCACCGACATGCAAATCCATCCTACTCGACAATTCTTCGGTGTCACTGTCGTGCAACCTTCCCTGTGCCCCACACTGATGGCTTAAGGCGGCTCTGTGGGCGGGTGCGCTTGCTCCCATGCCCAAACGAACGTGATGCTCGAAAAACAATGGAAACAATGGCCGCCGGTTCCATGCGCCGCAGCTGGACATAACTGTTTTAGCTCAGACCCGCGAGCCTGTGCAAAAGCGCTCCAAGTTTGGGCAGTTTCCAAGCACAAGCCGGGCTTCTGGGCAGAACATCCGCGTCAAGAACTGCACCATTCGTGGTGATGCACTGCGTTGCGACGTGCGCATCCTGTTCGAATTGCCAGAAAGTCAATAGTTCGATGCACTGGAATATGTTCTCGAGACCAAACCTGAAAGCTGCCGGTTGAAACATTCCTTGTTGCATATCATAAGCCATGCTGATCATCATTGAAGCAACTTGGCCACACTATCACTCCAAAGTAGGGAGAGAACTTTTTCCCCCCTCAATTAAGCATCCTTGGTGCGTCTGGAAAGGTTCTCACCTTCGTTGGCGCAGGGTTGCGTGGATTGCCCGGACCTTGGGCTGGAGCGACGGTAAACAGAAGGACTACAGCGCAACATGTTTTGGCTATCAAATAGAATATAACACAGCATTCTGGATTCTGGAATGGCACCTTCATTTGATATAGGGGTGGTCTTTCACATGCAAACACGACCCAGGACCTGCTCCGACGTTCTGGTCGCCGGCGTGCCGTGCACGGAGCCCGCGGCCAGCAACATCCAGGCAGGGGTACCGAATCTTTTCTAACTCTGTATAGAAGTATGTACATGCTATATGTGCCTTTTTTCTTTGTGCTTTTTGGTCTTGGTCTTTGGATAGAGAGACCAGAAATGAAGTAAAGAAGGCAAGGAAGAAGCCCCAAACCCTAACCACTACATCCTCAACCCAAGACCCCATGTCTTCAATCCTAAGCCTATCTAAGCCCTAGCCCCGGACACAAAACAACAAAACTGGGGGACCGTGTCTAGGCAGCGCAGAAGGGCACTGCTCTCATCCAACCATGGCTTCAGAGTTTCCAAATCATGCCTTGCAGGTGGTGCTTCAGAACTCCAGCCTAGCCTGCTTGACTCCAAGCCTTTCCAGTCACTGCCTCAGCATAAGCACGCAGTGACCAGCTTCATGATGGAGGCAGGAGGCAAAGGTGTCGGAAAAGTGAGTGGCAAGGAAAGGGTGCCGCAAGAATAGGGAAACTCCCACAAGCAAGTAGGACAGAAATGCTTAAGCTCAAAGCCTGTGCAGCGCGAGTGGGGAGACTTCGCCCGAGGAGCCTGTACGTACGTTCTGTCTTTGGAAGTATGAGCACAGGTTCAGAGAGACGTGATACTGAGGCTTCAATGCTTCGGACAGCCCTGCCACTTGGGCTAGCTCGCTCGATTCCCAGCTGTCCTGTTGGCGGAAGGGGCTCAATACCACCGGCTGCTGGTGCTTCGGCAAGGAATGCTCCAGTGACCATATCGCAGCCGCCAGTGAGCGCAGCAACGGTGCTCCGTCGTTCGCCATCGGCCCGGTCTGGGATGGTCACCGGTGCGCATATTTCCACATGTGCAGGTGCGAGCAACCTTCACCTACGCACCAAGCCATACTCCTCTGCTTGTGCCTAAGTTGTTGCTCCTCTGCAAGTCAATTCGACAGAAGTCATCTGGGCACAACCTAAAGCAGTCCTAAAGCCTTCCGCTGCCTTTACGACGACGACGACGACGACGACGACGACGACGACGACGACGACGACGACGACGACGACGACGACGACGACGACGACGACGACGACTGTTGTTCGCCGCGGTTTCGGGGGGGTTCACCCATTCAAGGCTGTGCGGGTGTAGGGTTACAGGTTTAGGGCTCGTTAGGGTCTGCGTTTTTGGGGTTTAGGGCCTACGATTTTGTTTTCACGTTTGCGGGTAGCAGGGTTTGGGGTCTTCTAGGCTACTAGGGTCCAATGATTCTGAGGGTTGAGGGGGGGTTTGGGAGTCGTGTTGCTCGCTCGTTTAGGGATGCTGGGGTGTCAGGCTATGAGAGGTTGCGCGACAAGGGGTAGAACCATGAATCCAGCCGCAGGGACTACGGGTCGCTTCTATATAATCCTTGCAGGGACTCATACAGCAGGAAATCTAAAAAAGCTTTTGGTGCTTGTGTACCTTCAATGCCAAGTGTTGCTTGCTATTTCAACTTCTCTTCTTCCTGTACTTCCCGGCGGAGGTTCGGGCCTAGGGTTGGGCATTAGGGTCAGGTTAGGCTTAGAATGAAGCAGGCATGCCCGCCAGACAGAAGTCCGCAGAGTGTTTCAAGCGGGTGCTGTGTGGAGCCTCCGAGATCTCAACGCGAGAACGTCTTGGCCTTTCCAAGCTCCGTTTTTGTTTTAAATGAAGCTGCGAAAGTGGGTCTCTTCTTCTTGGGGGGCCAAATCCTAAGAAGCATGGAAAGCAACAAGTTGCAGCAACTTTGCAAGTGCAACCTCCTGAAGGCTGTCGGGTGTGGACCCATCCTTCTACTCTGCTGCGCTAAGCACAACGGTTCAGCTGAACGGCAGCGCGAGCCTTACAGGGCCAAGCCGGTGCCAATGCGTTTTCCCTTCCTCCTCTTTGGAACGTGGCACCCGCCACCGAGGTGGCCTGGAATCGGCCGACGCCGAGATGATGGTGCCCGACTTTCCCGCTACTTTAGAAGTTGGACCGTCACGGCCAAGAGAGCAACTTCAGGCCCCGGTGGTCGGCTTTGGACCACGTGCTGCTACCGTTATAGGGCAGGCTGGGGCGTGTTCTCATGAATGAAGAGAGCAAGGATGAGCAATGACCTGAGCTGTTGGAAGGCCAATGCCAGCTTGGATGTTTGGCTTCAGAGGGCCTGCTTCTCACGATGGGTTATGCTGCCGTTCTGCAGCTTCTGTTGACAAACTGAGGGCTGTCCTCTTCTAAACAAATCGCATGGTTCAATCATGTTCCAGATCTGGATTCTGTGAGGCAGCGCCAACTCCACCCGAGGAGGCTGTGACTATTCCAAGCGTGCTGGCCCCCAGACTTTCCTTGAGCCAACTTCACCAGTCACTTGTGCGTCACCTTGACCGGCGACAGTGACGGGAGCGGTCAGGCATGGATTCCCGGGAAAGGCTTCGCAGCAGTTCCTCCGGGGGTGACGTTCGAGTCACGTTTCGAGGCGCCCGCAGAACATTCATCAATGGGTTTGAACGATGTCTCGTTGCGAGTTTAATGGTTTCGCGATTCCCAAAGTGATAGGTCACAGCTGTCAGTCCTCTGCAGGCCTCCAAGGCGGGGTTTCTCAGATTCTGGGCAAGAATGGCGGCGGCACGGTGTGCTTGGCTTGACTGAGGCTGGTGGTGTGGTCGTCACCATCACTGGCGCGGGCTTTCACCCTCGTGGAGCGAATAAGCATAGTGTGCAGGTCTCAGACAACTCAGACAACTCAGACAACTCAGATAGGGCACAAGAGCTGTCTGAGCCGTAAAGCCTGTATAAGCCATGCTACAAAAGAAGAGACTGGCAGCTGGCAGGTGACTTTCGATTTGCCCACGGGTGAGGTGCGCACCTGCGAGGCCGCATGGGGCAGTTGCCAGACAGCTGTTTGTGGAATGTGGGCTGAGTGTGGGCTGTGGGTCTTGTTGCGCATGCTAGTGGACTTGAAGCAACCTTTGGAGGTTTTGGGTGGTAGCCAGACGGAGATCCAATGCAGGCTGCAAGGAGGTGCAGCTCCCAGGTTTGTTTTCGCGGAATCCGCTTGTTTTGATCGTTTTCATTAACTTGATGGACTGGAGCATCGTTCTGCAGCGTTTAAGTGCAAAAAGCACAGCAAGTCGTACCAACTAGTACAACAGATTCTGTTGCTGTTGCCATCCTACTTTGAAAGCAAGCGCATCCAAGTACATCTCGGCCGATGCGAATGTGATAAGCAAGTGCTGAAGCAAGGCGGATGGTGCACATACATGATCTCACATGAAGCGGCATCACCAGCAGTGCAGCGTAGAGACCTAGAGCGGCTTCAATGAACTGACCACCATACCATGCAACATGTCCGTTCGACTGCCCCGCGTCATCCCCGAAGTGCGACCGCTGGTGGCAGCGGATTCGGACCGAGCCTGCCGAAGGCAAAGCCGTAGAAGCTCTCTTTAGGTGCCTTTTCGCCTTTTGTGCCTGCTCTTTTTTGCGGAGCACAGGCATATCTACTGCGCCTCCATAGCGGGGAAAGGTCCTACGCCTGCGCCAAGCCAAGCAGCGTGGATAAACGAGCTGGGAGCATCATACAGTGGAGCCTTGTGAAGTCACATGCTGCTCGCCTCAGGGACCCTCCGTGCACTACTACTCGCAGCATTTGGACACACTCGGGACACCGCGCCTCACGCGCATCATCAAGAAGCCAGGCCGGGGCCGATTTGGCCGACGAATTTGAGAAGTGCTGTCCCCGCATCTCTACATGACATGTGCCATGTCTCGGTATCAGGCTTAAAGCGTGCACCCTCGGCCCTCATGGGTAGTGCACCGACGGGGCGTGGCGAGTACCCGGTGCCCGTGTCGGGCTGCAGTTCCCGCCGGCCACCATCTATGGCCAATCTGCAGGCCAGTGGCATCCAGTGACTCAAGCGGCCTCATCCAACGTGGTAGTTGAGGTTGTAGGGTTGCTGTCAGCTGCTTGTTAGCTGCCTACTGCTCCGTATCTCACCATGCTTTTGCTCGTTTGTTTGTGACCGTGGCACCGCTCATGTTGGTTCTCCAATGTTTCCGTTGCTTGTGTAGCGTGGCGTCCTTTCTGTGTGTGTGTGTGTGTGTCAGCTTAACATGAACCGTTTGCTTGGTTTCGTTCTTGTTGCGCCGCTTGTGTTTGTCATCCTCTCGCTGTCGTCTTGTGCTGTGGCGTGGCTTTTCATGTCGCTTGTGATTTGTGTTGTTGTCGTTTTTCTTTGTGATCCGGATCGCCGACGTCTTCGAGTTTAAGTCGTTCTGTCCAAGCTCCCATGCTGATACTTCGAGCTGCACTGCGGGCAGTGCTAGATGCGCTGGGCCGTTTTTTCAAGGTTCTGATATCTAGATTTGAAAGCTGGGTGCAGCGTGGGGAGTGGGTACTGGTGCCTGACTCAATTGTCTATGACGTGCATAACAAATGTCGGTGCGCAACCCACAAAGAGTTCAGCAGTACAAATTCAGAGCAGGGATATTCCAGTTTGATTTTAGTCCCACGCTTGAACTGAAGAAGTTGCATGAGCGTCAGCACAGGCTGCAGCCATTGCAGCGTGGTTGCACTGATTAAGCATGTGTGGTTGTGGCACCCTACGCAGTTCAATATTCATTTGGAGCACGCTTTCGCCTGAGGAACAAATGATGCTCGAAAACGGCAAGCTGAACAACAAACCAGGCAGCCCGACTGCTTCACATTGGGCATTCGAAGCTTTTGAGACCTCGAAGTTAGGCGCATCGTCCTTCTTGCCGCCGATCAAGGCGCAGGTTGCCGGTTTCCTGTGCAACGGCTCATGCGCCCCAGAGTGCATCATGCTTGGTCAGATATTTGGGCAGGCTTCTGCCTGGCAGCAGATACAGAAGCCCCGTACACATGGTGGCAAAGATCGCCCGGTCCGAGTGCTCCAGTAGTTCGAAGGCGGCACAAGACTCTGTGTAGGCTGCAGATGCCGCGCCATACGAACTGGCGCCACTTTTCATGGGCAGGTGTCCCCGGCTGCGTAACCTGAGCTGAGCGTAGTGCTGTGGCAACGACAAGCAGCACGATTGCAGCTTGGCGTGTGCACTTGTCTCGCCACAGAGGAGTCCTGAACTCTCCAGATTCAATCTGGGCTTTTGAATCCAGCTTAGTCGGCTTCGTCAGTCCGTTCAAGACGGATGCTTCTTTTGACAGGATGATGAAATGCTTGTGAATGATTCTCTTCCCCGATGATGACATTTTCATTGTAACTTCTCGAGTAGCTTGATTATCTGGCTCAGTTGTGGTGAAGTACCTAGCCAGCAACATCGCATTCAACTTCTGTGCATAGGTGGAGGAGTACCATAGATTCAACAGAAGCAGGAGGTCTTATCACGGCATTCACATCCAGTTGTCGTGGGTTGGATCTGCGCTCCTGGCAGTGCGGCAAATTTCATATTGCTGCAAAGCAGCATCGTGAACATGCGGCAGTGTCGCATGTTGAAGTTCATGTAATCTGTAAGCTTTACGATAAACGTTGCGAGCATGCGCTCATGAAAGACTCTCAGCTCTGGTTTGCAGAGGTGTTGTCGAGTTCATGGCACGAGTAAACCGAGACAGACCTGCTTCTTGTGCTTTGTCTGTGGGAGTGGAAGGCGCTTCGGCAGCGGCTATTGCCTCCGTGGAAACCGATGACAGTGATGCTGACGGTGATGGTCACTCGGATCATCACGGTGATCATAGCATGATGCGACGATTGTCAGCGATGTGGTGGCCTCAGTCAGGCGATGACAACAACAGTAGGAAAGTGCGTCCCACAAGCGGGCAACTGACAACTCGACGCGCTGAGCCATTCAGGCCGGACACAAAGAAGCCGCTGCGCTGTGAAGCCGGAGCAAACGATCACTCCAAGGCCAGTGTGGTGGTCGGAGTTTCCGGCAGATCAGGGCTCACTGCACTTGACCAGGTCCGTTGCTTTGCCTTGGCGCTGGCCCGCTCAGGGAGCTTGCGCTCGCATCGGTCAGACACCATGTCGGGCCCGCCTCTCAGCAGCTCGCCACTGCCTGTCGTGCCAGTGCCATGCCAGAGCGCCCATTCCCTCACCAGTAGTTGTGGAAACCTCCTTGGTGGCGGGAACAAAGAACCTCCAGAAGCATCCGGGTTACCGGCATGCGACCGGTCCAGACATCCACCAAGAGTTTTTGACAAGTTGCCGCCTCAGGACACCAGGACACCTCCACCCCTAATTCGCCAGTGAGAGTGTCCGTTTTCGGACCGGTTGTTGGAGTCTGGAGAAGATGGGGTGAGAGTGGCAAAATGTGGCAAAATGTGGCAAAATGCAGCACCAGAGGCGCCGTGCCTCCAGAAATGGGTGCTGGAGCTGAGAAAAGAGAAGTTCCAGAAACCATCAGAAAGCTACAGAACCTCGAGAGCTTGAAGGCAACTGAAGAAGGGTGTTTCACTGCACCCCACACGCCCAAGCCGGAGCAGTGAATGTTGCTTTTGGCTGCGGCGGCCTGGCTCAACACTGCACTCGTCTCTGTTTGGGCAAGTGAGTGCTCGTGAGCCACTGCGCCACTGCAGGTCGAGTCGACGAAGCCTTGGACTTCATTCGTCGAACAGAAGGCCTTGGCTGCTTTTGGAAATAGAGTTTTCACCGGCTCGGCGCAGTCGCTCGCTAGTCTAGTCCTCAGAACTTGACTGCGCTTGCGTCGTTGCGGCCGTGCGCACCTGTGCTCTCTCCTTCTGCGGGGATAATTTAAGTCGGACAGGAGTGAGCCCAACGAGTAATGACCCAAACGATCACGCAAAGGCCTTGCTGGCAGCCTGTGCACGAGCCTGAAAGGCTCCGAAGAACAACTTGCTCCAGATTTCGTGGACAACAGCGATCTAAGCGATGGAGGGGAGGACCTCATCCATGGCCTTTGCCTCAGACTTAAGGGCGTTAAGGGCCTTATAAGCCTCATGAAAGCCATGCTAGGCCCGGAGACCTCGGAAGGTGTGGTGGCCAGGCCGGTTTTTGTTAGTTTTTCTTTCAGCTCATGAAAGCCCCCTCGATCTTGAGCCTGAAACGTAAGAACTCGAGGCGCATGGCCTCTGGAGAAGCCTCTGGAGACTCTGGACAGCCTCGCTCAGCTAATTTCGTTGCTGGACACCCGGAATGTGCCATTGGGCACGGAGCCATTCCTTGTTCACATCATGCTGTGATGAGGGCCTTCGACGATGGGGAGTCGAAAGTGACGAGGCCGAGCACACAGACGTTCAGTGTATGCCTGTGGCGCTATGAATGTTTTGTTGCGATCCAGGAGCCATGCATCACATTTCATTGGCATTTCCAGTTGCGGTCCGACCACATGTCCAAACTCTTCACGGCTGATAACAGTCCTGAAAGTGCAGGCGGAAGATTTCCGCGTGAACCACTTGCGTGCAAGAGCACTCAAGGCGCTCATATGCAGGGCTGTGTGCATATGGCATGATTCACGGCTGATTCACTGGGGCTGCCTTGGCTCAGCACTGCGATAGATGTTTACGGCACTTGGCCATGGGCACGACATGGTCAGATGGAGATGAGGAGTGGGAGGATGAGGCTGAGGAATCCACGGACAAAGGGATTGCTGCTGGATTCAAGGCGCTCTTCTCGCTACTCTCAGGGCAGGGTGTCTTCGAAGCCGACGACGCGGGCTATGAAGGTGCTTGGTGTGACAAATGCGGAGACAACGCCGGCTTAGAGGCGGATCTTTACTGTGTGGACTGCGAGGCAGCGTTTTGCTGGGGCTGCTCCGGGCGCTGGCACCACCCCGGTGGATGCAATGAGCTGCACTCTCTGGAAGTTATAGTCAAAGGCGAAGGGAAGGGCCTTCGCATAGTCACCCCCTTGCTGGATGAAATGCTCATTTGCGTTGCTGCCTACCACATAATCAGGGGGTTGAAGGATTGCATCGACAGCCAATACTTGTTTAGAGCGGACATCTGCCCAGTTGTCCGGAAGCAGCAGGAATGGCTGGCGTGGACTGATACGCTGATTTTCTACCACTTTAAGGATGTTCTGATGGCCAGCTGCAGCAACGAAGACAATTTCTGGAAGCTTCTTCTGGACACGTGGGTTCGCACCATCGTGACCGACTCAGACAGCTTGTTCCTGCTTCTTCGCACGTTGCCCAATGCTTTGCTAATCCATTACCTGGCGTCCACACTGATCGTCCCTCCTTTTGCTGTGGCCTATGCCTCGCTCCTGGTACTGGTACGCAGTCTGGAAGCACGACTGCCCAGGAACAGGTTGCTTTGTTGCGTAGCGGTTATGGCGCAGCAGGTGAGTGCAGCAAGCGCAAGGCTTGTGTCCTACAATATGCAGGCTCCCATGCAGACGAGACCACGCTTACGCCCCTCGCAGGACATTTGGGAATGCTGGTCCTACTGGACTGGCAGGCAGATGCGATGGTTCGACTTTTACTACCGCTCCACGAGAGAGTGTGCCACACAGCTTCTGTCAAACACTTTACGATGTGTGGTCGTTTTCAGATGTTTGGGCATCTGTTTTGGGTTGGGAAGACTCATCCGATGCTTTCTCGAAATGGTTGGTCTGGAGCAGACGATCTCTACACAACAGCTCTGGTTTGAAAGGGTCAACCATATGCTGGACACCGACGAGCTCGTGTGGCGTGGGGTTGCTGGAGCTCTTGCAGTGACAGCCGAGCTTCTGGCGCGTGCTGATGTCCGCGGCATAGCAGCTTGCCTTCTTGGCTTGGCTGCTATTGTTGCGCTGGACGTGATGTTGCGTGTTGGGGTCGTTCAGCAGAGATGGTTTCGCCAGCGGAGGGTTCAGCGGACTGTCTTGCTTCCGCTTCTGGTGGTTCTCGTGGCTGTTCCAACAGCGAGGTGGGCTTTCATGGTCATCTACTTTGGATTGGCTTTGATACTTTGGTCGGTGGAGCGCCTGCTACGGTACATTCTAGAGCGGCAACAGCAGCAATTTGAAGAACAGTGGAATGAGACCTACCGGGGTTTGGTGCTCGGGTCCTGCCCCTCCTTTGAGGGAGAGGAACCTTGTCCCTGTCCTTGTACCCATGCGCGAGAATCAAAGCCATCAAGGCGGCTGCAAAAGAGCCAGTGGCCATGGCCCTTCGAGCTTCGCTGTAGCTCTAAGCGAGTCTGCCGATGTAAACGCCGATCACGATCCTCCAAAGCCAGCGCATCCACTGACTCAATGTCTGCAGTCAGCGAATCGGAAAAAGAGTTTCGAGCAAGTCACAGATGCATGGTTTGCCCATGCGTCCCCCCCTCACCCCACTAACTCGACAGCAGAAGGCAGTGATTAGAGACGCAAAATAGGAGTATCTGCAGCTGGCCTCAAAGCCTTGCTAGTGGTACTGATGCAACATCGCTGCAGGTGCAGGCAAGAATGAAGGGACATCAGTTGGGAGCAGTGGGCACGATTCAGAGAAGACTTGCCGGAGATGACGACAATGATACAAACTCAACCGAAGATGAGTCTGAGGATGTTGAAGCTGTTGACACCGTGGAAAGGCTCATTCTGGGTCTCTCGCTCAACGGTGTCCGGCCACTTTGCAGGGTCGCGGAAGGCTGCGGCTTAAACTTGACGGATGAGTCTACGGCACTGGTGACTTCCGTGACCCCCCGCAATGGCTCCTATTCCGACGGAGTCGTTGTCACGATCACCTTGACTAGCATGCACATGCCAAGCAATTTGCAGGTTTTCTTTGGTGAGCACGAGTGTCCAAATCCCAGCGTTAGTGCTGGGCGGCACCACGGCATGTGGGTGGTGACCGTACCTCTTTGTGCCTTCGAAGCTTCTGATGTGCCCGTGTATGTCTTGACAGGCGCTGGGTATGCAATTGGAGCATCGCCCCACACTGGTGCAAGCTTCCTTTTCCAGCAGTTCCTACAACTGTTTTCCATCATGCCCGGCAACGGCTCGTTCTTCGGTGGGACTGTCGCCAACATCACCGGTGCCGGATTTGGCCCGACCCCATCCACGAACGTGGCGACAATCGGCAAGGTGCCATGTGAGATCTTCGAAGCTTCTCACCATCATGTCTTGTGCTATGTGCCAGCAGCGCCGTCTGAGCTCATGGACGCGGATGATACTGGAAGGACACAGGAAGTGAAGCTTCATGTAGTAACACCGGCGCAGCCCCAACAAGCGGGGTTGTGGGGCGAGTACTTCTTCTTCAACCAGGGCAGCACAATCCCGAACTTGAATGACCGCATCCCTGATGTAGAACGTGTGGACATGACGATCAACTTTGAGGACTCAAACGTCGCGTGGGAGGGCCTGCCATCTGCGAACGACTATGCAGCCCGGTGGACTGGTTACTTGAGAATCCAGGTCACAGGCTTCTACACATTCTACTTGAGCTCGGATGATGGCAGCAACATGTACCTGGACGGTGCCCTGGTTGTCGATAACGATGGTCTTCATGGATTCAGAGAGCGTAGTTCCATCGAGATGGTACTGCAGGGCGGCAGTATGCATGCACTCACAGTCTTGTTCTTTGAGAATGGCGGCAATGCTGGTTGCGTGTTCAAGTACCGAGGCCCAGACACAGGTGGTCAGAAAATTGTCGTGCCAGCAAGTGTCCTAAGTCATGCGAGGTATCGGGACGCGCCAGTGCTTTCCTACCTGTACGATCGCCCCGTCCTTGCACCCACCATCGAGAACCTCACAGAATCCTCTCCGTCTGAGTTGATTCTGGAGGGCTGGAACTTTGGTACGTCTGGGAAGGTGGCGATTGGAACGGCAAGTAATCCAGATGCCAATTTCCAGTGTGTGCCGACAAGCTGGACGGAAGGAAGGGTTGCCTGCAATCGTCCAGAGCTACCCTCCGGCTCTTGGCAGGTTCGGTTGTACTCTGACATGGATGGCTGGTCCAACCCGGCACCATACCTTCTTTGGGTGGTGCTGAACGTCTCAAGTGTTGAGGCAAATGACAACTCGGTGGCTACAGATTCCGCTGAGGAGCCCTGGGTGCTCATCATGAAGCTTGCTGATGGGGGCATTCTTGGATATGATTCGGAGCTTTGGGGCAACGTGGAGCTCCTGAACGAGAACTCGCCCGAGGGGGAGCCAGTGAATGCCAAATACCAGCACTACCTGGATGTGCCTTTCACACGGCTGCGCGCCTGTGTTGGCAGTGCACATGGTCACTGCGTGCATCACAAGTTCGACACTGCCTGGTCTAGTGCCCTGGAGCTGTTCTCAGCAGGCTACGTGCGTGACCACACCGTGGACCAAGCTGGCATGATTCAGGCTCTCGGTGCGAAACCCGGGAGCTACCGAAGCTGCCCAATGCTTATGCCTGGCTTCAATGTGATCTGTCAACACAACAACAAGGCACGCTGGGGTTTCTGTGCAAACTGCCCAAGCAAAACTTGCCGTGATGAGTCTGAAGCAGACGCTGCCATTGGAATCGGCCTCCGTGGGGAGGGCTCAAGTGCAGTCGGCGCTGGCTGGACCGACTACTTTGCCCCGGGAGCTGGTACATGTTCCGCTGACAGTGAGACATCTCGGAATGTGTGGCTTTGGGTTGCGAACACCAGCGCCACTCCGTCAGGAGTCCTGCACAGCGGCTTTGGTGGCGGTGTGAATCTAACCATTCATGGGACTGGACTGGGCTTTGCTCCCGCGCAGACCAAGATGTCAGTGTGTGGTGAGGATTGTCCGGTGCTGACAAGCGATGGCTCCTCTGCTACTTGTAAAGTGCCTGCAATGACGAACATTGACTTAGTGGATGCACAGCCAGATGCCTTTCCAACAGTTGACTTGGCACCATACGCTGCGAAGTTTTACACAGATCAGGGCGAAGCAGAGTCTTCCTATGCCCGCTTGGCCTTCACATCGAGTGCAGATAGACAGGTGGATCTGCCGAACACACGCAGCAGCTGCTGGTTTGGCTTTGAGCTGCCTCCAAGTAAAGAAGCCATCATCACGGCAGTTGACTTCCACCCACCGACGGATCCGTACCGGAGGCAGAAGGTGGTGGAGACGGTGTTCGAGATGCGTAGCTTCTCTGGCAACCTGTCCTGGGAGGAGATTGGCAGCGTGCGAGATACTGTTCAGACAGGCCTTTCCATCGCACAAGGCTGGACTTCCTACCCGGTGGTTGGATCTGGGCCGAATGGCACTGCTGTAGGTCAGGCCTTTCGAGTGCGCATCCTTCCGAATGCCTGCAGCTCGTCTGGAGAGCTGATGAGAGGCGTGCGCTTCCGCGGCATCGTGTTAAACACTGGCAATGCCAGTGCTTGCCCCATCGAAGTGGAGCACGTCTCACACCCGCTGGCTTCTTCTACAGGTGGATCTGCATGGCTTCCAGCACAACTATCCTACAGCCTGGAACGGACACCCATCGTGTCATCCCTGACTCCACAGCGTGGCACGGCTCGTGGTGACACGTTGGTGACACTTCTGGGTGAAGGGCTCGAGCCTCTGGATTCAGCAGGGTCACCCGTGTCAGTCACCTCAGAGAATGCACAGATAATGCTAAACACGTACGCCTGTCTCCCGCTGGAGAACAACATGTCTGCATTGAGCTGCATCACGACGGAGCGAAACAACGGCATCCAGGCACCCTCAACGGTGCTGTGGTTAGCCGGCAAAGGCTATGCCATCATCTCAGAAAGAGCTGAGGACACTGTCTTCAGGTATGTTGACAGGTGGAGCAATGTATACAGTTGGCTAGAGTCAGAACCACCTGTTGATGGTGACAGCGTCGTCGTCCCCGAAGGCCAAGCCATCATGCTGGATCAGGACTCGCCGCAACTTTTCTTGCTGCTGATCAGTGGTTACTTCGAGTTTGACCGAAAGGATCTGAAACTAGATGCCACCTACATCTGGATTTCTGGCGGGACTTTCTGGGTCGGCAGTGAAGAAGCACCATTTCTCCACCAGGCCACGATTACCCTGCATGGAGATCGCTGGCACACCATTGAGCTTCCCGTCATCGGCTCCAAGATGCTGGCAGTCACGGATCTGGGAGGATTGGGAACCTGCGGTCACAGCCATGGCACGACCGTGCGCTTGTCTGCACGAGGGAAGCACTATGCGGATCCTTGCCCGGTGAAGTTGGTCGGAAGGATGGAGCTTCATGGAAAGCCTGGCGTTTCCTGGACGCGGCTGGTGGAGACGGCAAGTGCAGGTTCCACATTGTTGAGGCTCGAGGAGCCTGTCGACTGGGAAGTGGGGACGGACATGATCATCACGCCGTCCAACAGGGGCCAAGATGAGGCGCCTGGCAAGCACGAGACTGCGAAGTTCTTTTTTTTGAGCTCTTAAGCGCCTTTTTTGTTTTTTTTTTTTTTTGCAGGTTCTTTCTGTTGCAGCAGAATGCTTGCGCGCAAGCACGTTGAGAGCTGAAGGTTCGTGCGGTGAAGAGCCTTCAGGATGACGGTGCGGTGCTTGGCACAGCGGGGGTTTTGCTGGTGGTGCTTGCTAGTCACTACTAGTCATGTAACCGCGTGTGCCGCGTGTGATGTGTTCCAAGGCTACACTGTGGAGCTGGACAGCCCCTTGAGATTCGAGCACTTGGGAATCTGGTGCGGAACGCTGAACCTCAGATTCGCAGGACATGAACTCTTGCTTGAAGTCATGGCGCAGGTATTTTAACGATGAGATTCCCACCCCGACAGATCTTCGTCAGAGCCTCGCAGTCGCCATGGGCGCACTGATTCGACAGTCTAAAAAAACAGACACTCCTTTTGAGGTGCTGCAGTGGGGCGGCTGAATCGGAATGTCAAGGCGATGCTGTGACACTCGGCAGTTGAGACTGGGCTTCCCACATCGACTTCCCACACTTCCCAGCTTTACTCTGCACTTTGGAGGTGCAGGGTGATGAGAGATCTCTCCGGCTGGGAAATGTCGGGGGCTGTGCTTTCATGATGGGGTCTTCAGGGCCGAGACTCTTTGAAATGCCTGGCGGCTTCCTGCAGGCTTACATGTTTGGAGTCCATGTCGGTGCCTTCCATGGTGGAGTCATGCGAATCGAGAACACTGAGATAACCCGCTCTGGTCAGGCACTGGGCAATGGGATGATCATGATGTTGTGAACAGTGAGAACTAGTCACTAGTGCGAGCAGTGTTTAGCATGATTTAGCGTGTGTCTCATGCAGGCAGCCAACTTTGGACGCTACTCATCCCACTGGCACGCCCTGTCACCACACAGAACAGTCGACGTCGTGGACATTGCCTCGGGCTCAGTCGGAAGGCGCTCTGTGCAGAGTACACTGGCAGCTTAGGTTTAAGAAGTGAAATATTTTGAGAGGCTTACCTGCGCAACAACTCCTACCACGAGACCTTCCAGCGAGCAGTGGAGCGGTTCTTAGTCGGCGCACGTTGCCGCCAGCGAATGTCCGCGTTGCTTTGGCTTGGAGACAGAGACAAGCGTGATCCCCCTTGCTGATGTTGTGCATCATGCGCCTGAGGTTGTGCACTCCACCGATTTTGCGCTTGTAGAGCACAACGTGGCCTGGAAGACGAAGGGCCATTCATATTTCACCGAGGCGTCTGCATGGCACAGCCACATGCAGCCGACGATTCAGAAAGGACTGCTCTATGACAGGCTGGTGACGAGGTCTTCGCAAACTTCTATCACAACCTGGCAGTGCATCCATTGCAGTGTGTGCCTTAGGTTATTCTGCGGCCGTGCAGAGTACTGTACTACGCCAAGTGTCCTAAACTTAACCCCCCTAAGATAGGGTGGTCTGGTCCCAGGCACCCCCTGCTTCTTGACGATGACATGGACCCTGCCGGCTTCTGGCTGCCTGGATTTACTGGCTGGTCCTGCCGCCATGTCTCCAGGTCTAGATGGAATATGTGGGTTTGCGATAATAAAGGACTCCTAATATAGACCCCCAAGCAGGCGGGGAGGTTGTTGAGGGCTTTACGTAAGTGCAGATGCGAGGGTAAGCCTTCCCAAGGGTCCATGTACCTATACAGTATATACTTGGGCCTACAAGGAGTTCCCATATAGTAGCCCTAGGGCCCAAATATTTACTCTGTAGGTACCTGGGCCCCTCAGAGCTTGATACCCGAAACCTTAAAGCCTAAATCCAGTTCAGCACTGTGGCATGAAAGACGCATAAAGAAGCTGTTCGGACCCGCGGCTTGATTCTGCCCTCAAGCCCCTTCAGAGTCTACTAGGTCTACCACATGGCAGGTTCTTTTTCAGATTCAAGGTCTAGCAGCCTAACATAGTCTGACGGTGAAGCCAGTGCTTTGTGCTGTCTACAGAATGTCGCTTTACGCGCCCTTCCTTTGCGGCGGCTTCGGAATGGTCGCAGCCTCAGGGCGTCTGCAGGGCGTGAGTCGAAAAGTTCCTGTATCGAGTTTGCTCCATCTTTGGAGAGGCAACGATGTTTGCATTGCTGGTGCCAGCAGCCCTGGCCTCAGCCGGAGTTGAAGAAGGCATGTCATACCTTGGCAAAGGCTTTGTCAATGCTTTGCAGGTCGGTGGGGTCGATCCTGCCTCGGTACCCGTGCTTTCTCTTCTTGGGCAAGGTGGCAAGATGTTTCTTGGCTGTGCAGTCGTATGCGTGGATTTGAATTGCAAGTTAATGCTCGGAGTAGCAGTGAAGCCGATGAGTGGGGCAAGGCCTATGTCTGGAGTTGGCTTATGTTGTCGATCCTCCGCGCGTGCTGCCCTCAACTGGAAGCGGCCGTAGAGCTTTGCAGGCGTTTCTGTTTAAGGCAGTTTGCACGATGTTGTGGTCTGCATCCACTGAATACCACTCTCCCCTTTCTGTTTGTTCAGTGTGCCATGCGGGACATGTTTCGGATTATCACATCTGTGCTGGATTTTGCTTCATGTAGCTGCAATCCATTGGAGATATGCTTTCCAGCAACCCATTGAGGTGGTGATGCTGCGCGACAGGGTGTTCTTGACTTCCTCTTGCAAGGTGCTTGTGCTCGCCAGCATTTTGTTTCCCTGGCGCGTCGGCTGCTGCCAGGCGGGCGGCATTTGGACACCGCACAGATTTATGGCAACCACAAGGCTGTGATTTCGCAATGTGTTGAATGTGGGCAAACCAGTCACGTGTCATTGAATGACCGCCAAGAAAGGGTTGCGTGTAACCCGAGACCAGGCACATTACATATTGTATCTTACTCAGATTGCCTCATATCGCCCAATGCTATCTGCTAATGCAGAAGCGCACAAGCTTGTCAGAAGCTTCTCAGAAGCCTCTGTCCTCTGCAGGAAGTTGGTGAAGGCATTCGACAGGCCTTGGAACGTGGAGTTCCTCAGCGGCTCTTCTAACTGCTTTCCGGATCTTTCCGGCACACTGACACATGGGAAGGGATGATTGCATGTCCAGTAATCAAGTTAGGTGTGAGTCTTGTTGCAGCATGCTGGCAGTTCTTCGTCATGCACTGGCACCTAGGTTCCCAGAGAGGAGATATTCCTCACCACGAAGATCTATCCAAATGATTTTGGATGGGAGAGGGTGTTCGCCCTGAGTCCGAACACGTCTTCTTGTTGCCTCAGCTTTCTGACTCTGATAGACGGTGGCCTGGGTCCCGCAGATGCTCGATGAGCTAGGCCTTCAGTGCTCTGACAGCACATGGGAGTAAGCGGTGCTCAAGGATAAGCGGGGACACAAGTATGCTCAAGGCACGAATGCACATTGTTATTCCCCCCTGTGGACCTGGCAGAGTATTGGAGGGAGGCTGACAGCAGCCTCAACAAAAGAGAGCAGCCAGAAAGCAGCAACAACCAGCGTACTCCGTGGAACACCTCACCACTTTTGCTTCCAGAGCAAGGTTGAATGTGCCCGGCCCAATCTTATTCCTCCTAGCTGCCTGTGCCAGGCAAACTGTTGTGCCAGGCAAACTGTTTTGCGGAATAAGAAAGGGGGGGTGGGTCCCTCACCCACAAGGACAACGGCGACCTCGATTAAGTGGTCGTTTACACTGCGGGAACAACACCGACTTTGAAAGTCAGACTTTCAACTGTGAGAAGCGCACAGTTCGATCTCTGGGCCCCAGAGGAAATACTGAAGCACATCGCAATTGGACTTCGATGAGCTATGTTTCAGGCGACCGGCCCATATGCCACACTCAACGAAAGGGCTTGATTCTCCAACAGCACGTTTGGAGCCACAGCAAAAAGTAAACGAGGTATGAGCCTGCACCTCTCGGGAAGAGTCCTTACCCTGGCGGACATATGTCCCTGACGTAAGTGCCCCTAAGAAGCTCCGTACATATCATGCACCAATGCGTTTCGCATTCTCTTTTTTCACAAAGCCGAGTCAGTCTCCAGTTTTGGGATGGGATGGTCTTTGGTATATCTGCGACCTTGTTCTAGATCTTGCCGTGCCTGTAAGGTATGTCGATCTGATCTTGCTGCACTTCGCAAGTGCAGAGGCCCTGAAGGCGGGTGAAGTTCCGGATACCACACATGAGTCCGTCACGCCCGTCACGGCCATGGCACCACATGGCCCATTGCCGGGCACATGGCCTGGTGCATTCTTCGCATCGCTGTAGGACTGCGGCACGCCAAAGCAATGTCGCCAAGAGACCTGGCTCGCGCTGCAGCGGTTCCAGAGCCAGGCTTCGGGATGCTCCGATAGGGACATGCGGGGACGGCGAACTGACCCCCCTGCGAATTGTGTGGCTTGTGTTCTCTTGTGTTCTCGAGCCTCTTGAAAGCCACAGGGCCAAGTCCGAGCTCTTGGTGTCAGCAACTTCGGGCCGCGACAGATGCAGGAGACTGCCTGCAAGGGACCGCCTGTCAAAGACATTGTGGCAAAGCTTTGTAGTGACATTGTAGGGTACGTCGTGCTAGGATGTCGTAGTGTAGGAGCTGATTGCTTTGGGTGGAGCGCCGGCCGGGCACTTATCTCCATGAGACCATGGCTTGCCTTCCGAGCTTCTCATACAGGGTCCTTTAGGATTTTAGGGTATGGCTGGACATCGGTTTTAACGTTGGATGAACGCCAGCCATTCGAACTGCTTGATATATTCCAACTTGTTGTCTTTGTCGATCTCTTGAAAGCAATTCTAAACTGTTTTTGCCTGTGCAACAACCGGCTGCTTGCAATCTGTTTCGAGCCTCTGGCTGCTTTGAGCCCGAAGCAAAGGCTTGGAATCGGTACCAATCTTCCTGGAATGCTGTCCTTCGGCACTTGATTCTACTTTGCTTGCCCATGAACTTGGCCTAAAAATGCTTAGACGCAATTAAACGCATTATGTGGAAACAAAGCCCTTTTGTGGCCCCGGGGCCTCGGGGGGCCAAGCCTGCCGGAGCTTCAGGAGGCGTTTTGAAGCCTTGGAGGGTAGCCAGAAAGCAAAACCTTAAACCCTTAGCGCTTTTTAAAGAACACCCCCAGAATCATCGTGATTCCAACGCAGCTCTGGGAGGCTTTGCAGAAGCCTTGAATAACTTGCTCATGATGAACAGCAAACGGGCCTATTTCGCACCCGTATCTGGCTGGGATTTGTTGAGCAACCCACATAAGCATGTAATGTTTCTTTCGTTGAACCGGATAAACGAGGCACTTTGGCCTCGCTTTGGAAACAGGCTTAACATCGATTTTAATGCAGGTGCCCACCGAAATACAGGGTGGCTGGGTGGGTTCGAAGATGACTCGTAACATAGCCTGACACCAGCAACCGGCTTAAAATCATCCAGGTGCCAATGGAAGCACAGCAGGCTCAGGCCACAAGCCCGGACAACGGGCCGCCTTGAAGTCGATCCCAAGCCAGGGGTCAAAGCTCGCCCTCGACAGGCAAATCTCTCGGCTCGGACTTGGCTTCAATCCCAAGTTTAAACCGAACTTCACCCACCCCCCCTTTAGAGGCTTGTGCCCGCTGTTACCTGAGGTGGCTGTCAATCAGCTGGAGTATCACCCCTGGGTGCCACAGGTCCATCGAGAAACCGTTGACTGGTGCCACAGGCCATTGGGATTTGCCTAGGCATGCTAAATGTGCTAACTGCCGCGAATTCCAGCATCTTGCAGTTGTCGGTCCTGGCAAGGAACGGCGTAGTTGTCACAGCCTATGGCTCCATGGGCGCGAAGCCTATACTTATCCACCCATCAGCAATGGTCACTTCTCGCAATTTGGGTCCTTTTCACCAGGCCTTGTCCATTACAAAGAAGGAAGCGAGAGCCGAGGCAGCACCTCCTATGCTCCGCAGATCATCAGCCAGGCAAGAGACGAGTTGTCAGCTTGAGCTCCCGGAGCTGCAGAAGCATTTATGTGCCAGGGAGCTCTCCAGCAAATCGGAGCGCCTTGATGGGTCAGTGGTCAAATCATGTCAAGGCTTTTTGTGCAGTTATGTGCAGTTGCTGCTTGGGGCCTGTGACCCAAGGAGTGGCATGGCAAGACTGCTGGGCAGGTGCTTTTGCGATGGGCAGTACAGTCGGCTCCCGTGAGTTGCGGGATAACGTGGGTGTGAGGGCTCGTGGCATCTGGCTGAGGCATAATGTCAGTGTCATTCCTGGCACCTCAAATCCAAAGCATCAAGCAGCAGCTGGGATGGCACCAACTGGTTCGGAGATTGTTCTGATGTGCAGTCCACCGCAAGAGCCGTCTGTTCAATGCGGTAGAGTCGTGTGAGGAGAACTTACAAATTTTTGACTTCGAGCTTGGCAGCTCGGCGCTCAGCTTTCAATTTCATTGGCAGTGGCTGCAGTGGCTACGTGTGCAGACACGATCAGACACGCTTCGGGTCAAGCGGAATCATACGGAAGACAGCACGTGACTGTCAGATGGCAGGGGAGTTGATGCGTACTCTTCCAGCGTCAGAAGAATTGAGGTCAGGAGATGGCTCTGCTCGACAGCATTCCGGAAAGTGAGCGGATGCTTCACTTCGGTCATACGCCCGATGTGCTCGAGTAGCATGCTGAAGTTCAGTTCGTGTTTCGGCATGGTGCTCTTGCGAGAGAAAGGGTTCGCACGCCAGGGTCTGTGCAATCTTAGAGCTTGATGCTATTTGATGCTCTGCACAGCACGTGGAGTACCGCAGCTGCCAGATGCCAGGCACCGGTCGAATTTGGCTGCAGGCTGCCACCGCGGCTGGCGTGTGCGGCTGATTGGAGGCGTCGCCGGGCAACAGACCGACTTGACGTTCTTCAACAACTCGGCACATGCGAGTGGATTTGGATGGCACCTGAAACCACCTCATGCACCGCCCACCCTGAACGTGTTCCAGAACTTTACAGCTTTCCGGTGCTCCACGGGCATGTTCTACTATGGCACGGGAAACATCTTCCACGATGATCACAGGTTCATTGAGTGCGGGACCGGTCATTTCATGAACCATCTCAGTAATGGGCCACACACGGCGCCTTTCTACCACAACCTGGTTTTGGTTGGCAATATCAACCAGGATGCTACCTTCTCACGCGGCGGAGTCGGCATAAGAGGACCAAAAGACAATGAGTATTTCTATGTTTCTGGGCTGACGGTCATAAACTATTTCACGTCCGCTGTGCTCCATGGCTGCTTCGAGACCACCTGCACAATGAGGTACGAGCGCATCCAATGGTTCAACTCTACCAGGAGAACCTTCAACTATGCTGCGCAGTCTGGCATCTTTTGGGATATGGATGGAACGCTGACTGGATACCCCAATGGCTTCGTCTCTTTGGACTATGAGTACAACCATTGGCCGGGAATTTGTTCTGTCGTTCCCGAGCATGTAAATGGTGTTATGTGCGGTGCCTCAGACGGCTCGGTGCGAATGAGACGTTTGTTGGTGAACGAGCAGCAGCCTTGGCAGCTGGATGGCAAAGACATGAGGGTTCGAACCTCTGCCGGGTTCGATCATGTGAAGTACGACACGAAGAAGCTCAGTGGATGGCCAGTCGTTGTGGTTGAGAATGAGACGTTTGACATGCGTGTCGACGACCCCAATGATTTCCAAGAATTGTCTTTCCTGTACTCCACGCGTCCATATGTGATGGAGGAACTTGGGTACATCTACAACAAGACCACGCCCAAGGACGAAGCCATTATTGTTCACGTGAACTTCACTGACTGGCGGGATCACTTTGATGCCTCGGCGTCAACCGCGCTTGCACCTCAGGATGCGTTTCCTTTGCGTCTTTTCACGCCTTGCGGTGATGCTGGACTCTGCATATTTAGCAGTGAAAGGCTTCACATCACACGCAGCTGCTCAAGACAAGAACCACGCAGCTGCAGGTAGCATGAGTATTATAAATGCAGTTGCAGGCCTTAGTATGTCCCACTGTGCCTTGGTGAAGAATGTCAATGTGTAGAACATGCAGAACAGACTCGAGCGTCAAGTCTCAGGCATCTTTTTTATAGAGGGTACGCTGTGCCTTGGCATGTTTGGCTGCAGTTGTCTGCGGCCCGCTGCAGCTGGTGGCATGCCGCCTCCGTTGGTTCGGGGATTGAGAGAGTTTGAATTGCCGGGCTCTGGTCGACTCGTGCAGGGAGGTGCAGATGCGGTCCGGTGTTTCTACAAAGAGCCAGGAACTGTCATCGTCAACTGTGCGCGTCGCACTGGGGCAGCGAGCGTAGAAGTTCGGGGAGAAGTGGACATCTTCTGGTTGCCCATGACGGAAGCCAACATGGAGGAAGCATGCAACCGCTACTTGAACGAGTATGGACAAACTCTCCTTGCTGCTTGGCTTCATGCTTGGCTTCATTCTAGACGCTGGACGGTGCTCAGCAAGCGAATCAAGTTCTCGTGTGCTGTGCATGTTGTGTGAATGGAGGATGCATTGCAGAAGGGCAAGACGGTGGCGGTGCACTGCAGCGTGGCTGAGACAAGCATGAACAGCACAAACTCTGCACAAAATCTCACAAAAAACTGCATTGGATTCTTATGGCCATATGCCTGTCTGGAATCATGCACCGACCTGAGGTCAGGAAGGTGTCCATCGATCACTGGAGTTTGCCAAGCAGCTGCACTCACGAGCCACGGGCGCAACGAAGACGCCGGAGGGTGTGAAAGGCTCATTGGCGATCCTTATCAACTTGTGCTTTTTTTGGAATCATCGGTTGAATCGTGGTGATATGAAGGGCCCAGCATTTTGAGGACGATGCTTCCGTTCCAGGGTAAGTTCACGAAGCTGACGTGACGACAAACATCATGTTCCATACAGTGAAAGCGAGACCTGAAAGGCATCCCAAACCGATTCTAGAAGGCAAAAGGCTGCAACCACTTTTGGCATCAAGGTCTGGGCTCCTTGCCCGAGGTGGAGGGATCCGCACCCTGGCAAAGAGAAGCATGTTGTATTGGCATCGACTCGATGGCCCAAACCTGAGAGGGAACCGAAGCCGAGGATTGTAACGAGGACGAGGAGGCCGAGGAGGCTGAGGAGGCCGTTGACGTTGCTACCGTGGAGAGATGCGAAGGACGCGTGCCGACTTGAAACGGCTCAAAGGCCTGACAAGGGAGCAAAAGAAGCTGGAGATCGGCGAGCCATTAGCCGCGTTAGCCCAGCTTCGGGCGCTTCTCACAGCGTCGCCCTTTGCAAACATGGACGCTGCACCGGTGGACGCTGCCGACCTGCAGAGAGCTGAGAAGTGTGGTTGGGGTCGCACGTCGGCGGGGGCGAGAAGCAGAATCCTCGTTCCTAGTCGGGTTCGGGGAGGTGTGGAGGCAACGCGGGATTGGCGGCACATGCAGCGTGCTGCATCACTCGCTATGTATCTATGCTCTGAAGAGTCTGTTTCATGAGTGGCTTGAATGTCCGAGCCGGCCATGCCCGCATAAAAGAAAGCTTGTTGCCTGATTTGGAGCGATCTTTTTGTGTACTACTGCATGTCAGATCGCTGCATCAGTATCAGAGTGGGCTTCTGTTTCATGCTGAGCCAAGGCGTCGACTGGACCGCATGCCGACGAGAGATGACCCATTCGGCTCGCACTCCATGATGCTGTGGTTGGGGAGCCTGGTACAGGATTCTACTGCGCAGCAATACTGAGTCTTCTTCGATCCATAGGGTCAACTGTAGCTTCGAGGCAAGACGAGTGTGATGAGTTCAACCTGACGGACGAGGTCTCAGACAAGTGCAGCTTGTCGGCAATCCGGGTTGCGCTCACAGACTTGGGCAATTCGTGGGCTGCAAAGCTAGCTTGCAGAACTCATGATGGACGTAAGCCTCGTCGTGAATATATGCAAGCCGGAGGGGGTTTCCGGTGTGATCTCTCTCCACAGCCTGTGATCGTTTTGTACTCAGACGCTGACGCCAGGGTCGGGCAGCGCCACAGGCGGAAACCGGAAAGTCACCCGAGAAACTATACCTTGAATCTGAGAAGAGGAACAGGTCGGGGACACCCGGACATACTTGTAGGTGGCGACGAGTGGGGACAAACACCGGCACAAAGGTCTGAAGGTAGCGCCGTCCGGCCTGTCCGTCCTAAATCACCACCCTGGAGAAAGCATGAGGCTGTGAAGAGTCACTTTGCTCAAGCAATTGAGGTGGTGTTTACGTGAATGACACCGGGCTGGCGTTGAAGGCGGGGAGGGGCTTCAGCATGCAAACCTCCTGGCACCTGGTAGGTGTATCCCCAGTTTGTCTGTGAACTGCCCGCGCCTTGTCGCTTGCACTTTGCCGAACCCCCAATTCCTCCGCCACAAACGCTGCCGCACATGCATCTGGCTCCAAGGTAGGCCCCGAGCTGTTTACGAAGATGTTGAAAAAATACCTGTCAAGCAGCAATGCCGCACACAAACTGCGCACCGCAGTTGCAGAAGAGCTTCTCTCCGGGCTTCATCCTTTGCTGTGTTCGGCCGGCCTTAGCACTGCCCTACCAGCTAATTGTTTTTTAGGGAACCTTGCAATGGGAACCTGGGGTGCTGCTGGACTGGAAGTCTGGACCCGAGACGCGGAGGCCTGGCGGTTTGATGTCCGAAAAGCTCTCTTGCGACATTTCCTGTTTTGTAGCTTCCGGGGTAACATGCGTAGGACGAGGACTTGCTTACTACTATTTTGAGTGTGCTCCGACGTTTTCGATGCTGTGGTTACGTATGGTTTAGGTTCTAGACCAGGTGTTGGAAGACTAAAAATCGGGTGAGGTGCACCTGTTTGCAGGCCACATTTGGAGCTGCAGATCCGTAGAGTAGGAGTTGCCGAATCCGAATCTTACTATGCATAGGCTTACGGGTCGGGCAGCGCTCTTGCCGGCATCTCCTGCAGTGAAGCTCAACTGCGCAACAACCAAACCTTGTCAGGCTGCCAGGCGTCCTTTTGAACGATCCCTCCCTGCAGGACTCCGGGGTTTGCATTGTGGCAAGCTATGGCAAGCTCACCCTTGCTCCTTCCAAAAGCTTGACACAAGCCGCAGATCATGTCTCAAGCTCAAGTCAAGGGTATGCCCGTGAGCTTCGTGCATCTGTGACTCGCATGGCCGACCTCCTGTTGCACGCTGCCTTTTTTGACGAGCAATGGCCAAGAGTATCTGCAGGTCTCTCGCAAGTCCAGTCCGCCAAAACTTCCTGTCAGCTCCGTGAGGCCTTGCAGCAGATTTCTGCAGATCCCAACTTTCATTGTGTCAGGGCCGGCAAACCCGACTTCGAGGCCGTGCTGGATGAGATTCCCGAGACGCAGGAATTCTTCGACTCCATTCTCCCCAAGATTGTCTGCCTGGCCCAGCAGGCCCCTAGGTTCAGGCACAAAGCGGTGCCACTGCTTGTGCAGGGCAAGGCAGCCACGGCAAGCTTTACGTACGCTGAGGCCGCAACGCTCCTGGCCTTGGCCTTCCTTGGGTTGCTGCCGGGCGGTCGGCCAAGCATGGCACCCTTGTATTTCCCCAAGGATGGCTGTGGCTTCCCGCCGAACACCGAGAAGCTCCGCTGCTTCCTGAATTACTTTCGTCAGCTTGGGGGCGTTGAGGGCGCTGAGGTCAATGAGGATTCGACGGAGAGAGGGGAAGTTTGGATCAGCCGCTTTGTCGACTCCAGCCACGACCTGGAGGATTTGAGGAGAAATTCTACTCCTCTCTGTCTCTGCCGAATGCAGGACTTGAGAACCCCAATCTACGACTCAGGTGCAGCACTGCATGTGGATTTTGCCAACGCCAGTGTCGGAGGTGGTATCTTCTTAAATGCTCCTGGGGCCACGGCACAGGAAGAAATCACTTTCGCGACCCATCCCGAGCTCTCACTGGCAACACTTCTCTCATTGCCTCTGCATGATGACGAGGCACTTCTGATCCGTGGTGCCAGACGGTTTTCTCGTCATACAGGCTTCCTGGACACCTTTGCATATGCTGGTGCCGTGAAGCAGGACGAAGCGGTGTTGTCTGCAGACGTGGTTCAGATTGTCATTGATGCACGGATGTATGATGGTGCGGGCGTTCCATCGCCGTATCGACACGACCATTTGCGACGTGGCATGCTTTAGACTTCAGACCTTTTGCTTGTGCTGTAGCGTGCAGAGTCTGACTTAACATACTTAACCAGTGCTGTCCCAGGTTTCAAGTTGAGGATGCCATGCGGGACTTGCACAAAGCACTTTGCGGATTTCGTGCGGCCAAGCTTAGCCATCCTGATCGAGGCTTTTGCGCAACTGGCAACTGGGGTTGCGGTGCTTTTGGTGGGTCGCCTGCAGTGAAGCTGTTCGTGCAATGGGTGGCAGCCAGCCTGGCTGGCCTGGAAGGTCTTGAGTACTATCCTTGGGATGACGCAGTGCTTTTCGGGTTGCTTGGGCTTTGTATCAGGAACCATTGCCGCAGATCCTTGCATAGAGCTGATGCGGGTAATTTGCCACTCGGTTTTGACCAATCAGGTTCATGAGACAGGCCGAGACTCTCGACGCTTTCTCGAGAGCAACAGTCGGTCAGTTGTGGACAGCCGTCCTTGCTGCAGCTTCCATGCAACTCTCGCTTGCCAATGAAGCTCTTTGGCCAGCATTTCGTTGTTGTAGAGCGAAGCTTGCGTGCCTGATTGTGGGCCAGCATGGTTGATGCATCATGTTGTGACAGGCGCGTCGCTACCCTGATGACGGCGCTGAGTTCCTTCGAAGTGTTCTTAGCGTGATGAAAGACACCTGAACCGTGACATGGGACATCACGGGACTTTATTCTGATATGTGACGGCACGAAGCTGCAGCTGCGAACGTGGTGCACATCAACAAGTAGAGCGAGCTGTCCGAGTCGTGCCACTTCACACAGGAGATGCACCTCCAGTCATCCTGGAAATCATTCAAGGCAGTTGCTGCGCGCACTGGAGAAGGTTCCAGGCTGGTTGTGTCTACATAGCGATGGGCGGGAGTTCGCCTGGCGGCGCAGAAAAAGCAAGAACAGCACGAACACACAAGTACCTCGAAAGAACCGTTGGCGCAGTGTTGGAGCGCGCTTTTGAGAGTTTCAGACGTTTAGGAGCTTCCGCGTCTTCCATTGAATGTCCCGAGACAGTGCCCGGCTCTCTGTGAAGCCCTTGACACCACAGCTTACAGCTGTGACATGCACTGCTCTTTGTTGCAATTCCCCCAGCAAGAGAGCATCATCCCTTGACGCCTGAGGTCCCGGCAGGTTTCGATTGCATCCACCGCTTCAAAAGAAGCTCCAGGCTGTTCTGCTTAGGCTGCAGAAGAGTGTATGATGTCGGTACACGCATCGCAGGGAAGCCATGAATCCTTGTGTTTTCCAACAGAGCCTTTTGAAACTTTGTTTAAAGCCTTCAAAGCGGCTGACTCGAGATGTTTGTTGCCTTGCAGACCGATGCAGTGCTTGCTGCCGCTCTGCTTTGCCAGGCACTCTTGCTGATCAGAAGGAAGAACTCAACTTGCGGCGCTTTGAGAATGCCGTGCGGGGCCTAGCAACGAGAAGGCTTTGCACCTTGTGTGGACCAAAATGACCAATCCGTTTTCGGAATTCTTGACTGGGTCCACCTTGGCTCCATGCTTCTGATCCTCAACGCTCAAAAGCTTAACAAAACATCCGATGTCCCAAGGGGTTTTCTGGAGGATTGCCCGTTACGGGCCCCCAAGTCCCGAAAGCGATGGCTATCTCACATGAGACCCAACCGAAGCAGACAAATCCTTTTTCCAACCGGTACAGTAGGGGCATGAAATCTTCTAATTCCAAGGTTTGACCATGTCATCCCAAATCCCGAACGCGTTGCTGAGGTTAGCATTAAAGGCTAAAGGGAACATGGGGTCGTTCTCAGTTTCCAGAAGCAACCGCGGCAGGAAACTTCTCTCTCAACGGCTTTCTGTAGGAGACTGCAGAGACTTTGCATATGAACCTCAAGGCGCCAAAAAGGCAACCGCTTCGAGCAAGCGAAAGCAGTCCCTTCATACTGGGGTCCCTTATCATATAGGTCCCGCGCCAAAAGAAAGAAGCCCCCAGCTTTTCGCAGATCATCGAGATCCATGCAAGCCGCACCTGCGTATTCTCGCATATTTGATGAACTTCTGAACCTGGCAAGATTCGTTTTCTACTTCTCCTCTGCATGGCATTTGGCATGTTGAAGCTCTGTACAGGTTTGGCGTCTCAAGCAGAAGGACAAGAGGCCAGTTGGGCCAATTGATCACATTTCCTGATTGGATGTCTGTTTTCAAAAGCCGCTGCAGTGATAGAGTTGGTGAAGATTGTCTTCTCGTTGGGCAGGACCTACGAGACTTCTGGCGAAGATGGCGAAGAGTATTTGCGCAAGGCGGCGGCTAAAATTGGCAAGGACCCGCTTGCGGTAATAGCAGTGCTTGGGGCACTGTTTTTAAGGCAATTGGTGCTTGTCAACGGGCATCGGCCCAAGTGCAGGAGCTCGACTTTCACGCGCCGAGCGCCAAGTCCAAGTCCTGCCAAGAGGCTGAGCTCCGAGCAACACCTTTTAGGGTTTAGGGTTTAGGGTTTAGGGTTTAGGGTTGAGGGTTTAGGGTTTAGGGTTTAGGGCTCGAGACAGGCGTCGCAGTATTTGGCCGAGCCTTTTGGTGGGCCCACCATCAGCCGCAAGAGGCCAGGATGGTCGGCCGCAAACCGAAGTTGTAGATGATGTGGGAGAATATGCGACACGGCAATCGGCATGCCTTCCTTAAACCCATGCATCCACATGATCAGACGAATGGAATATCGTGTCGTGATATCGGAGAGTTGAACAATCATGTGAATCATGTGTGGTTCTACCCACCCTGGGTCGAGGCGTGGCCTGGAGAAACGAGCTGTCAGCATTCCAAATCCGCCAGGCTGGGTGTGGGTTGGTGAGTTTGTGGTGGAATCCCAAGCGCTTGCATACTTGTCATAGCCACGCCTTGGTTGTGTGCCGACCTGGCAAGGAGGTGTTTTGGATGTAGCTCGTCTGGAGAACGCAATGTGGCGGCATTGGGCCCGTGAGAAGAGGTGCGCGGCACCTCAACGCAACCTTGCTCTGACATGACAACTGTCACACTCGTCTCGGGAGTCTTGATGTCGGCAGGACCTCAGGACTTGTAGTCTTTCCAGTAGTTGTCGCTGCTTCCCACCAGGGCCTGGCAGCCTTGGTACAGTGCACTGCCAGAAGAAGGCGCGGGCTTATTCAGGTGCGAACTCAAGGGCTGTCTGTCGCTTCTAGCTGAGGTTCGGGGCTTGTCTTCCCTAAGCCCCTTCCCCCCCCCAGCCGGTCCCCGGGCTGCTTGAAGAGGGCTTCCAAAACAGTTTAGCCAAGCAGTGCACCCAGGAGCCGTCACACCTTAGAGAATAGCATGAAACACGTAGCAACGCGTTGAAGATTCCGGCGTTTTGGGATGCTGCACTGTTTGGTCCGGTCATGCCCCAAAGATGCGAATCATCGCCCTTGGCCCTTGGCTCGATGATGCTCGCCGGATCCCGATGTACGAGGTGGAAACGAAGCCTGGCTGATGCAGCCCTCCGCGCATCATGAGCATCAGCGGCTCCGGCCCCATGGCTTCGCTACATAGGGGTTTGTCGGCCCGACCAAAGGAACATCCATAAGCACGCTTAAAACCACACTATTTACTGTGTTTTCTGCATTTTCGGAAGCCCCGCGGCCGCTTCCAGGCCCGAGCCACTGACGTGAAAAGATTCAAACTTTACCTTTTTGGACCGGGGGTAGGGGTGGGTGGGGGCCAGCAGGGAAAGGGGCGGGGGCGGTCGGCACAGGGGGCTAGTAGGGGGATGGGAGAGGGGCAAGCTCTGGCTATTGGAACTCTTTTCCCTGGCGCCCTCCCCCGTGCGCCGGGGTCGGGGATTAGTCGAATCCCATAGACCGGCTTTATTACTTAAGCATCCTGTTAGGGGAACTTATCCAAGAAGTGGCAGCCGACAGGCCAAAAAGCCTCCAAGCAAATCGGTTCTCAGTCTGGGCCCAAGACACGAGAATTGTGGAGCGTGGTGTGTGTGTGTGTGGTTCAGAGCACGGACTTGAAGGGTTGCAGGAGAAGCAAGCAGGCTTGTTTCATCTTGTTCCTGGTGTTTGTGTGAGCACCCCAGGATTGACTTTCCACAAGTGAGACAATTGCTTCACAAGCAGGTGCTCGGGGTTGTTTTTCGACTGTGCTTTGTGCATGCTGTGGCTGGTATGTTTGGGTTCAGGACCTTTTCAACATGAGAAACCTGGCTGTGCATCTGGCACAGCGTGGCCTTGAAGCAGGATACGTTGAGGTGCAGCCCCTGCAAGAGATAGTGTGCATCATGTGCATCATGTACATCGATGGCGAATCTATGGGTCTGACTTGGCTACGCAGTCGACTGACATACCGTCAACGCCGCGCAGCACCACCAGTTCACAGCTGGAGTTTCAGGACTTGGCATGGCCGCACCGGGAAAAAATGCCCCCCACAACTATCCCGCAACACACTCATCGGTGTGAACACTTGCTGTTGGCCAGTCTCAAGCTTCGGTTACGCGGGCAATAGATTTGGGCATCAAAAGGAGATCGTCCCCGAGGAAGAGCCGCAAAAACAAGTGTGGTCAGCTGCCGGAACCCAAGATCCACTCTCTCTGGACTCGTGATGCACGCTGGAAGGGATTCAGAATTGAGAAGAAGCCTGCAGACATTGGATTATGAAAGTATAGCTTACGGCTTGGCACCACTGGTCGGTCCCATGGTAGCAGTGGCTGGCAGTGCGAATGCGTGCCTCGCACGCCTCGCACGCCTCGCGCACGTGCGCACGTACACACTGCACTGTGCGTGCAGGTGCCCGCTGCCAGCCCAAAAAAAGGTACCTGCACGCATTTGGCGCAAGACGCACTCATGTTTTTTTGGCATGTATGTCGTGGTCCTAAGCTCACGGCTATCAGCATTCCGGATGTCCCAGAACTTCCCAAGTTTCTATTTCCAGAATACGGATGGGGCTTGTCGGGCGGTGGAAAGTGTTGGGAGTTTCGGTTTGGGGAGGTTCCAAGCCTCGCGCCCTTTCGCCGGACTCCATGGATTTAAGTGGCTGAGGAGGCGCTGCCTTGGGCCTGCGCCCTCGGCTGCGCTGTGGTGATGGCGAGTGCTTTCCGCTTTGGCCGGGCCAAAGTGATGTGATGCTTCCCAGATAATAGCCACTGGTAAGGAAATATGCTGCAGCAAAAAGCTGATGGCAGGGTTGCGCATTATCCCGAAGGCGGTGGTTAAGGGCTGGGCGTTGCCTGGCTTTTTTTGATGACACACGCTTCTGCTACCATTTGTTGGAGTAGCGAAGCCGTGCTGGCATGTCCCGAAAGTTCCATGGTTTTCGGTGGTGCTGAGTGCTTCTGAAAGTGATAGAGCCTTACACAAGTTTGCAGCACCTCGAAAGTTCAAGTCGTTGCCATGATAGCACCAGTGCAACTTTTCAAGCGCCGATTTAAGTGATTGTCCGTGCAGCTGCCCAGCTACAGCAGATTTTGCTGACGGGAGCAGCCTCTGGCCTCCGCTGTTCGCAATTCGTTGCTTTTGCATTGCATGAACAATATGACGCGGCATGGTAAGCTTCGTTCTCTTCTGGTTGTGCGCCTTATGGCAAGCACGACAATACCTTGCACAGTGCACAATTCGACCTAGACGAACTCTTCTGTGGCTGTGGGGTTGCTGAGCACTTAGGTTTCAACCCTGTGTGAATCTGATTTTGCTGCACACATCGGGGTCCATCGGCATAGGCAGCACATGCGCCATACGAAGAAGTGTACAGACTCTGTAAAGATCTGCTGCCAGGAGGCAGCGTTGTCCAAATGCACATAGACCAGGCACCCGCAAGCCTGTAACAGACTAGCACTGAGCTATGCGCTTCGGATAAAGCATCTTAAAGACCCCTTTGGGTCATTTGGGTCCTAGCTGGTTACGGGCATGCACTCTTGATATGCCCGCACGGCAAAACTGCGGCTCAATCGCAAAGGCGGTTGACAAACCATCTTGCAAGGGAGCTCGCGCTGCCTCTTAAATGTCGCAGAGCGAGTTTGCCCTGAGTCAAGTACCCCTGCTCATACCTCATTATCCATATTGTTGTTGACTATACGGAGCCTATATAGTCCTCCAAACGCAGCTGTGGAGCATGCTGCTGAGCACTGAGATTGCCACATGCCAGGCTTGTGCTGCAGAGCCTTCGAAGACTTCGAAGGGGTTTGAAGGGCCGGGGCCGACAATTCCAAGGGAGTTAGGGCCCCCGTCCCACTAACCGCGTGCATAATTTATGCCAGAACCTGCCTGATGGATGTAAACTTAATTCTGTCTGCACCATGGTGAAGCGAAATGGGTCCTTGACCACTGTTGGTGAGCAGGTGCTGACAAAGACTGGTAGGCTGCAGCCTTTGCAGACCGTCTCTATAGGATTGACTGGAAAAATCAGTACCTGCAAATCTGACTAGCTGCAGTGAGATGCAGGGAAGCCTATCAAGGTTAGCGGCTGTGCGCAACAGGCAGAGATCGACAGCCAACCCACTGTGGACATGGTGCATGGCCGCCTGACGACAGTCTTCACAATGAAGGCAGACTAGCGCTCCTTAGTGATAGGCATGATATACATATATATATATAGATTTGCGTGAAGCTTGCCCATGGTGCAGGTGGAGGAGGGCACCCCGAGCGGCTCGTTTAGGATTGCAGACTGCTGCGGCTCCTGCTGCTGCCACCAGTCTTGCTAAACAGAAGCCTTTGGTCATTCTTTCCGTGCCGCAGCCCCGCAGGAACAAGTTCTTTCCTCGGGAGTGTCCCAAGAGCGGCTGTCCGCAGCCGGACATCGTGGGACCAGGAGGACCGCGGTCTCCTAAACCCTGAACTATCCCAAGCCCTTCACCGCGGAACGTGTGGGATTGCTGTCGAATCTCCAGACCTGCTCTCCCAACTGAGGATTGAAGCCCATCAGGCAGCATCCTTACATGGGGTTTTTGGGGTTTCGGCTCAGGGCTTACGGATTCTTAGGGTAGGTGCTCTTGGCAGCAGGGAAGAGTTCTGTTTTCCGTGTGTGTGTGGGCGCGCAAGTCGATCTAGATTGGATGCGTGTGTGCTCAGGCGCTGGTCGGATGCCGCAGGCTGGCCTGATGGAAAGTTGCCTGTGGAGATGGCAGGGTGCTTACACTGCCGAGGTTGATGAAGCCTCCCCCACCTGTTTTGGTCTGGTTTTGGTGATAGGTTTGTAGCCACCTTTTCTGTTGCCGGGCGCAGCGAAGCTCAGGATAACGTCGTTCTGCCGCCAGATGACAACGTCCTGCTGGACATCGAGACGCCAAAGCTGTCCGAAACTCGTGGACAGGGCGTTTTTCAAGTAGGTCGCGATTTTTGCGAGAGTGATCAATGTGATCAGCCCGAACCCTTGAAATTTCCTGCTTTTAACTTCGACGATTCGAGGCATTGGCTGGATGTTCAAGGACGGCTGGAGTTCGACCGAACCGTGAACACAACCCTGCACGCCCACTCCGTTAAGGCAAGGCCAAAAGCTTTCTCTCCTGAAGTCCGTTTTCTTGATTGTTTTTTTTTGCAATTTGAAAAGCAGAAAAGCATAACTGGCTGAATTCCACCCTTTCTTGTTTTTTGTTTTTCATCGCTTGAAATCACATTTTAAATTCCGCTCTCTCGTTTCTTGTTTTTTTTTTTGTGTGTGTGTGTGTGTGTGTGTGTGTGCGGGTGTGTGGGTTCTTGACAGTCTTTGTCTTCGGCTTTTTGTCATGGCAGCAGCAGCATCTCTAGCTTGGCTTAAACCACTTGCCGCCGCCAGAAACGACCAAGCAACGTGCCATTCATTCCAGAACCCTAAGTAACAAACACAGGCCCTACGAAAGTTCGCGAAAGTAGTCGCAAATCATTCTTCGCTTTCCGCGAAGAATGTCAACTTCCGCGTGTCGCTACAGACAACCTTTCTTCTTGGCATGACTGTCTTGTTGCCTCCATTCTTGTTTCTAATATGTTCATCTGTGCTTTCATGAGGGGCGTGTGTTGCGCCTTCTCTGCAGGTTTGGGGCATCTTCGAGATGGGCACGGCGGCCTGCTCCTCAAATGCCTCGACACAGGGCCCCGATGCCCCGACCTCTCGCATTGCCAAGCAAAGTCGTCTTTTCCTCAGCTCCTGGGGTGCCTGGATAAGGCCGACCCCATACCGCCGGGCGTCAAAGCAGAGGTTGTTCTGTGGGGTGATGAGCAGGCAGGGCGCTGCTCCGGGATTCCGTGTAACGAGAAGCGCGACAGCTTGTCGGAAGGGTTCTTCGTTTTGAGGCTTCGATCAGTCAGTCACAGGAGTCACAGTCATCATTCCTGGGAGTGAACGGTTGCGTTTTGTCCAGCAAGCGCGTGGGACTGCAAAAAACACAAATCGATGAGTGGGTGATCATTCCCAGCTTGTGTGCGGATGGAGTACGATCCTCTGCGGGATTCTGGGGTTTGAGCCTCCCTGGATCTGCATGGTTCCTCTTTGCACCCTGGGCTCGCCGCAAAAACACAAAGACACCCAGCCGCCACAAGCAACACAAAGCGCCCCGCTGCCAATGCCGCAGCAAAAGCACGGTGTCAGCCCTTTGTTCTAAGCCTTAGCACCAAAAAACCCCTGAACCCTGAACTCTGGAAACACAAGGGTTCTTTTTCGAGAGATTTGAGGGTTGTTGTGGGTTGAGAGAGAGAAAAGCTTGTAGCGTCACAGTGCAGCAGAGTTGCAAAGTGCGGAAGACAACTTAGTGGCCAGACTGGCATGGGAGAAGGCTTGCAACATTGCGCAAGATCGGGGTTAGCATAGGCGCCGAAGCCAAAAGAACTTTGTTGACCCTGCCTTGATCGTAGTTTTCGCGCCAAAACATCACATAGCAAAGCCATCTGAACGGCCTTCGCACCTGGGCCAGTCGATCACCGTCATCATGGTGGAAGGCCTTTTCCTGGTCAACAAGGCCACAGTCATGCTCAAGGAGCTTATGTAGATACATGCTCCGGAGACATGATTTGTCCTGGTGTGCCGGAGCCCTGAAAGCCATTGGAGGTCATTGCGGTGCTTGGCCAATTCTCAGCCGCACCTGGCCTGGTCAGACTTGCAGCAATTTTTGTGAAGGGAGCCCTGAGTTCAGGGGCCCCAAAAGGGTTTGTAGCTGGACAGTGTTTAGGTTAAAAAAAACTCTGTAGCTGCACACGGTGCCGAGGTTGGAAGTACGAGCTTTCAGAGCCAGGCACGGCCCCAGTGCCAGATCAGAGGCATAAAGAGGTAGAAGCGGGGAACGCAAGAGTTAGAGCCGAAAGCATGAGGATGCATGCATGATTCGAGCTGGCATTTTTATATGTTCCTGGCTCACTGTAGGCCTGGACGCGGCTCGCTACGACTGCTTCTGAAGGCAAAGAGTCAAGATCAAAGTTGATATAGATTCAGTGCTCCCATATTTTCCAGCTCCATGTCCTGGTGTGTGCTTGTGACTGTGGCAGCGAGCGGGGTCGCCAATGGGGGAAACGTAGACTGCTGCAAAAGAATTTATGAACCTGGCCTAGGCATAGAAAAAACCCATCTCCATATTGCTCAATGAGATTTTCGATCCGCTGAGCATTGTTACATGCCATGAAAGCCAACCTAATTCCTAGGCCAGGGCCAACCAAACTACCACTGAAGCACCATCCAAGCAAAGGCCTCCAAGGGCATGTCAGGGATAGGAGGGGCGGCAAGGCGATATAGGTAGACAATGTTTGGAGACTCCGACGTCTGGCAGAATCAAAGACAGCTTCCCACAGCGACGAATCCAAGAGCAGCTCGCCATCTCTTTGCAACGGTTCAGCCGTCATCTGACAGTTCTTGCTTGGGGGTGTAGCAACGAGTGTCATTTCCAGAGCAATATTCCTATCCGTGCCTGCCAGGTGACGCGGAAATTACGATCCGGGGGGACCAAAGCGATTGGCCGGTTGGCTCACAGGCACGTGAGGGTGATCTTCCCCAAAAACAAAATAGGAGTCGGCAGTTTAGTGCACGCCTGTCTGATTGTAGGGTGTTGCGCCTCCCGTTTCCTAGTCTCCCATCAGCTCTTACACTCAGGAATGAGATGCTCTGGTCCCAAGAAAATCATGTTTCGTGGCGTAAAGGTCCGCTTTAAGCACTGGTCGCGATTCAAGAACTGGCGATGCAAGCACCAATCCTGATTCAAACGCACGCGATTCAAGCGCGGTGATTCAAGCACGCATGATTCAAGCTCAATTCCCGATCAAGCGTCGGCGATGTTGGCATCACCCCCAGCGAAACTGTCGACCCTTAAAGGTTAGGGTCACTCAGGGCTGAGGGTGTTTACGGCTTATCGGTTTTAGGGTTTGAGGCGATTTTAGGGCCAACTGTAGGTATAGAGCTTGAAGGGTTTAGGATTCTTAGGACTTCAAAGGCTGCAAGCCTTTGAGGTTTGTCAGGCTTTTGAGGGCTGAGGGTCTTCATTTTCGAGGGGATTTTAAGGACATCTTTTGGGGTTCAGGGTTCTTAGGGCTCAAGGGTTTTTTGGCTTCAGGTTCAGGGCTTCTGCACGCCAATCAGGGATTTCAGGGTGGAGGGTTTCGGATTGGGTTTTAAGGCTTGAGGCTTGAAGGGTTTTGCGCACTCAGGGGGATAAGGTGCATGGTTCGGCAGCTTTTATGGTTTAGTTTTTATTAGGGCTTCAAGGGATTTTTTCGGCTTCTGCGCACACCAATCATTGACTTCACGCCTGAGGGTGTTCATGGTCGAGGATATTTAGGCTTCAGGGTGTTCAGTGTTTCGGGCTTAGTGACGTAGTGTGTTTGGGGTTCAGGGTTTTAAACATGTTTGGCCTTTCTGGCCTTTTTTAATGGTTCTAGGTTTCAGGGTTTCCTTTGTAGGGTTCCATGCTTAGGTTGAAGGGTTTGTGGTTTCGGGCTTAGGGGTTTTGCACCCGTTTTATTGTGAACTAATATCATGATGTTGATTTCGGGTTCTGTGGCTTTAAGGATTACAACGGCCAGTGCGCGCCGAAAGTTAGTGCGCGAGTCCGCGGGGTTCAGTGCGTGAATCCACGGTGCGTGAAGCCTCGTTTCGGTGCGCGAATCTGGTCCGTCCAGTGCGCGAATCGGTCCTTCCAGCGTGGGCGCGTGCGCGCGCGCGTGCGCGCGGGGGCAGGGTTTCCTGCCTGTTTCGTGGTACAGGAATCGGAGGAGCCGCCAACCCATGTGTCATCAGCTTTTCAACATGAAGCTAAACACCGAAGACTACGATCCTTGACGCTTCGGCTTGTTGGCTGCGCCGTGCATTTCAAGATTGTGTCAGCTTTGGATTTCACGCTTGACTTGTTGGTCCTCATGTCCATACTGTAGCTACATACTTTCCATCTTCCTCACTGTTTCATTTTGTTTCTGAAGTTTGTTTTGTGTTGCTGTTAGGGGTTCGTCACGGGTTTTCCAGAGGGCTTCGGTCATGATTCTGAAGCCAACCAGGGAACTTGGGCCCTTGGCTATGTGAGGTGATGTTTTTTGGGAGCCGTACATCTAGCAACGCTGAAGCAAAGTTAGAGTCATAGTTGCTGAGTGGGGGGGGTGTTGGAGAGAGTTGTTGTTTTGTTTGGGCGGCGGGGGGCAGTGGGGGGAAGCCCTGCTCGAGCTTCATCTTCCTTCATGCCCTGGTGCCTGCCGCATGGGTAGATGACGTTGCTTACATTTCCTGCTTTACATTTCGAGCTGACCGAGAAGCCCAAGCAGTTCATTAGAATAGGAAGCCTCCCCGTTGTAGCATCCATTTGCCCAGACAGGGCTGCCTTGGGGGTGGATTGATTCTAGTTGCACTGGGCCGTTGGTCTTTCCCTGTGCAGATCGCGATCTCGGCAACGGAGTTCCCACAGCCTCCAGCTACAACCGAGACCGAGGCGGGAACCCATGTTGAAGCGCGTTGGGAATCGTTGGGAAACGCTACTGCGATGCTTGCGAAGTTTGCACCAACATTCACTTGTGAAAGCAACCCTTGGGCTTGCAGGTGCGACAAATCGCCAGCAAACCGGTGTATGATGTAGGTTCCTTATGTCGCTTTATGGTGCATGGCTGGAGGTTCGAAAGCGTGAAATAGTTAACGTGCTGAATCCGGGCTGGCGCAGCAGCCGAGCATGCTAAGGCCGTGGCGGACACAACCACGCTCACCTTGAGCGCGAACCTGACCTTCCGCCATTTCGCCGGAGTGGTGGATAGCGACGTCCTTAGCAAGCGCACAAGTGCTCTTGTCGAGAGACTCTGCGACGGCGCTGATCCTCGGCCCGGCAAGCTCAACGGAGTTCGTGCGCACACTTCTGTTGTAGATTTTGATTTTGTACCCGCCAGCAAGATTTCATTCGGGCGACAGTGGTGCGCAGATCCGATGTAAGGAAGGCTTTCCTTGCATAGCGGCATAGCTTAGGTGCTAGTCACAGTTCTCCAATTTCTGAACACCCAGGCAGCGCAGAGAACACCCAGTGGTCTCGACCCGTGCTGGCAGCTGCGGTGGCACTTCTGGATGGTCGATCCAACGTACCCCTCCTAGTCACATGATGTCACACGTACAGCATGGCTTGATACCATGTTGACTGCCAGGTCGTCCTGCGGACAGGAGAGGCAGACACAGATCACGGAGGCACACGGTCACGGAAGGATGTCCGGTTGCCAGCGCTGAACATCAAATGCCGATGCCGTAGCCGTGCCAAGTCAGGACCAACCTCCCACACATGTATATAGCTCGGGCTCTGGAAACTGTGCGGCTGTAACGGTTTCATTTGTGCGTTCGCGTGTCTATGTTTCAAGGACTTTGCAGCCTGTCAGGGTTAAAGTTGTGCGAACATTCCCAATTACCATCCAATGTGAGCTCGTGACTTCTGTGGATGTTTCCAACCTTGCAAAACAGGAACCCTGAATGTCGCGATCATGGTCGGTTGGGTTCCCGAAGCAGTGAAAAAGCCTGCGTTTCCACTAGAACTCAGTATCGACCTTGAACCCTCAGCCCCTGCCATCCTCGACCCTAGAACCGTCATACGCCAGCCAGAGCAGGTGTCGAGCCACCACGACTCCTAAGCTACACAAGTGGGGAGCGCACGAGCTGTCATCACCCCCACTTTCATCCCCTTCTAGAGTGGTCAGATACAGCAATCAGGCTGCCAAGCCCCACAAAAGCCAGCGACAACAAGCTAATTGGCTCTGCAGAGGGATCACTCTCGTCCTTGAAGGCGAGCTTGTCATCGCTGGATCGTCAGATGGCAGATGGGTGCGCGGCCCCTGTTCTGCTCGCATTTCTGTCCATGCCATCGCATGTTTACACAGATGCGCAGATGGGCTTCTTCGCAGGAGGGTGTTGCCAACGTGAGCAATGTAGACTTCGTCAGGATGGGCAGCCTGTCTGCACTTGTCTTCAGTCCCGAAGAAGGTCTCCCAAAGTCCCGAGGTGCACATTTTGTGTCCTGCCAAGGAAAGCACCTCTACCAGGCTCCCGCTTTGAAGTTCAATTTCTTGGGGCGCTGGTCCCAGTGATTAGATGAAGCAAGGCCAGGCCACGAAGGCATGCAAAGACATTCAAAAAAGGAGCAATGAAGGCTATTCATGCAGTCGCATCATAGCCGTTGTGAGTCATTCCCAGACTGCGTGACTAAGGGGACAGCAAAACATGTCCAGCGTGGAGAACTGCGTGTTCAGCCACTCGCAGTCCGGCGCGATCGAGGCTGGGATAATGGCTGCGGGTGCAGTCTTCGCTCCTCCGTCTGCCGCTCAATGCGAAAGGCCAACCACGTGTCAAACTTACAGATTGTGCAGAACGTGTTCCACAGGTCTCGTCCTCAGTTCGCCCCTGCAGAATGGTGAATGGTGGATCTCCCTCCATGGCCTGCTGCAAAGGACATTCCGAAGCGCCGTGTGGCTGCGTCTGCCTGGCTCGGCTGAAGTTCACTCGAGTTCACTCCATGTCTGCCGGCTTAGGACATAAGTGACATACTTAGGACATAAGATGTCGAACCCTTTGGGCAATGATCGAAAAGCCAGGTGACACATGCCGACATGACTCGATTGTGCTGCGCAAGAATGTCGCCATTGAGACCTTCCGGCATCCGCGGGAGAGCCGAGGATGGTCTCACGTGTCAAGTTGCGTAGAACGTAGGCGGCGATATGGCTGTGCAATGTGCACTCTATTTTGCAGACTGGATCCGGCAGTTTGGTGCCTACTTCCTGGAGGCAGAACTTTCAGGAACCATCCATTCTTTGGTTCATTCTTTCACCTCTGTGGGCCTCTTCCCTAGTGCCCTATGTTGAAGGTCCGTCCAGGAGAGCTGGTGGGAAACATTGCCGCAGGCTGTCTGCATGGTCTGACTGTCTGATTGGAGAGGTTGCCTGTGTTGAGTTTCTGCTTCTCCCCCAAATCCTGAACCTTTCGGAACCCCACGGCATTTTGTGAAAATTCACCAGGCTCCACGGACAGCGGCTTTATCCTCCGCCCGCAGCTTCGCTCTTGCCGGCAGCCCCCAGCTCTTTCGGGGCGCATGGGGGCAGCTGCCATCGCCATCTCCCTGCCTTCATCGAAGACTCCTCAACAGCTATCATACGCATATTTTATCTCATTCTCTCTCTCTCTCTCTCTGTCCGTCTAGTCTTCTGTGTGGTCTTTCAGGTGTCTCTCTTTCTCTGACTCATCGTGTCCCGCTGTGTGTCTCTGTTGGCAGCTGCGCTTTGCAGGGGGAATCTCTGGTTTTTGATGACTGGGCAACTTCCGAGACCCGTAATTTAGCATGATGAACTCGAGGCGAGGCTTAGACTTTGCGGAGCAGGGCTATTCTTCACGGTTTAAGAGAGGGTTTGGGCTGTAGGGGTTTTAGGGTTTAGGGCGTTCAACCTTGCACAAGATCGGGTCCAACGCAGTCGGCGAGAAGTGCGAAACCTGCGAAACTCATCACAGCGGTCTCCACCTGCCTCATTGTCTCTGAAAGCCAGCTCGAGTCGTGCTCAGTCCCAGGGAGGCCGCAGTGATGCTGGATGATGTTGGGGCTGCCTTCCTGTACCCAGGTCAGAAAGGCGACGTGGGCACACCGAAGTTGCAGCAGGACGTGTGTTGTGTCGTTTGGCTGGTTTCCCAAACTTGCCCACCTTCCTGGAGCTTTCAAACCAGCATCCATTTCATGACTTTGCATGCCTGCATATGCGTATTCTTGAAGTGGCTTGGATACTGTGCACGCGCGCGGAGGACGAAATGAACGAGGCGGTGGCCACGATGCGGCGCACTCGACATCGGCAAAAATGGCTAGCTGTGCCTGAATGCTCTCGCCTCGTTTCTTTTCGGGACCTCAGATATGCCAAGAATGCCAAGGACTGGAATGTTCATCCTGTCAGGCTGCCAGGTGTCTTTCTCAGAAAATGCGATGTCCTTGTGCCCTGTTCTCTGCAGCGATGTCGAAGCTTACTGTAACTGAGGGCACCTGCAACGAGTGCGCCCAGATCCATGGCCTTGTGGCTTGGAAGAATGCACATGCAGGCTAGGCAAGCTGCTGGGTGCATGTCGTTGGCAGATGCAATGAGCTTTGATGGAAAGGGGATTCAGTTCACAGCATCTTGCCACCGTGAGGCATTATCACGGCAGAACAGACGGCTAACGTCAGGCCATCTGGATGCGCACTTCCACTTGGCGTTCCGACATGTTCTGATATGTGCTGATGGAGCATACGATCAGCACAGGTTGGACACAGTCCTCGTCAGCGACAACCACATCGGAGTCTGACGCTCAGCGTGAAACACGCGTGTGTTTGAAAGTGCTTAATCGTGCTGAACAAGCGGTAGCTAAATGGAAGAGTTGCATGACGTTGTGCGATATTGCGCGATGCAAGATCACGTTGCGCTTCGTCCGTGAATCGACCGACATGGACAGTCGCGTCGGGGCCTTGCGTTCGTCAGCTTGTCAGAACGTTCCGATCCTGGCTGCGCTGAGCGTGGCAGTGTAGCTACAGAGTTGGCGTTCGCTGGCAGGTCTACTCTTACAACATGACAGTCTTTGGCTCAACTGGCGCTTCAACATGTCCAGGGCTCAAAGCCCGACCTCTCCATGTCTCTCTCTCTCTCCGCTCTCTCGCTCTCTCGCTCTCTCGCTCTCTCGCTCTCTCGCTCTCTCGCTCTCTCGCTCTCTCGCTCTCTCGCTCTCTCGCTCTCTCGCTCTCTCGCTCTCTCGCTCTCTCGCTCTCTCGCTCTCTCGCTCTCTCGCTCTCTCGCTCTCGCGCTCTCTCGCTCTCTCGCTCTCTCGCTCTCTCGCTCTCTCGCTCTCTCGCTCTCTCGCTCTCTCGCTCTCTCGCTCTCTCGCTCTCTCGCTCTCTCGCTCTCTCGCTCTCTCGCTCTCTCGCTCTCTCGCTCTCTCGCTCTCTCGCTCTCTCGCTCTCTCGCTCTCTCGCTCTCTCTCTCTCTCTCTCTCTCTCTCTCTCCCTCCCTCTCACTCTCTCTCGCTCTCGCGCTCTCTCGCTCTCTCACTCTCCACCTCTCTCTCTCTCTCTGTCTCTGTCTCTCTCTCTCTCTCTGTCTCTCTCTCTCTCTCTTTCTCTCTCCCTCTCTCCCTCACTCTCTCTCTCTCCCTCTCTCTCTCTTTCTCTCTGTCTCCCTCCAACCCCAGCTCACTGTCGACGTTCACAGAGAAGTTGCAGTCGGTGTTGCAGATTGCCTTACTACTTATGCCTTGCTAGTTAGAGCTGCTGTGAATCGAGAGGTGCAGCTTCCACTGACTGCCGTGCATACAGCCCAGGCCTCAGCTACAAGCAGAGAGCGCAGCAATCATTAGCATGTCGGTTTCAAAATTTCAATGAAGGGCGGCAGATCATGTTCGGCATCTTGGGGATCGCCCGACTGTCACCACGTGTTTGGTTGCAGCCTTTGGCTACCTCAAGCAGGATTGTGTCGCTGACGGGCGAAGTTGGGCATGATACTTGCAGAGAGATGACAAAACAAGCACCCACCGAATTGCTGGTCCCACCTGCAATCGTCATGTCAGAGATATGCAAGGATGCTTGGTTTTGAGTGGGGTTGATGAGGAAGCCAAGAAGCCTACAAGGCAGATTCAGCCTGGAAGCGGGTTGGGGCTGAGGCGAATCTGACACAGTGGGCGAGACCTGCAACTCTGTAATTGGCAGCTCTTACCGCCGGGTGCCGCCGAGCTTTTTCCTTGGTCTGGGCATGTGGATGCTGAAGTTGAAGTTTCAAGATGTTGTAAACTTTTGAATCGGAGTCATGTGCACAACACGGCATGCGCATTTATCAGTTGTCACTTACAAAGAAAGGTTGGTGCACGCAGTTTGCCGCGCAGAGGAAGGGAGTGTGGGTCCTTGAGCAACCCGGAACCGTCCTTAGAACTACCCCCTGCGATGCCAACCACGATGTTGATTGTGACCGCGAGGGAAAGATGTTTGGCTCTTCAGCTAGGAAGGTGGAAAACTGCTTCAACTCACCCCTGCCTCTTCTAGATCTCTTCAAGCGTGGCTGGAGCGAGCCGCACGGTGGGGCTGCCGTCGGTGCGCAAACATTATCAAGCCTTGTCACGAGTCGGGCTCCCCTTCTGTGATTTTGCAGGTTGCAGTATCTCAATCTTTTTGGTACTGCATATTTGGAGGCCTGCGGACAGTCTCCAGCGTTCCCGTCTCCCCTTCGTTTTACGCTTCTTCTGCGACGACTTCGAAATCAGCTGAGGTCGAACGGTCTGGCATTTCCTTTTAGTCCTAATTGGCGTTGTGTTTTCTTTTTCCATCTGTTTCCGCTTTCTAAGCTTCTTGCTTCCTGGCCTGGTGGCACAGGCGCCATGGCCGCTTAGACAATCTGGGACTTCTAATGCTCATTAAGGTGAGGGTGTTGCTTTCTGACTCGGCCGCGTGGTGCTCCCCTCTCTATCCCTCTCTCAGTGTTGCCTCCAAGTGGGGTGTCACAGCATTCACAGCTTGTTGGGTGCTCTGCGGGTAGTGTCGGTGTCTGAGGAGGGGCTTGCCGTCCTTTGCCGTCCTGGAGAACGTGTGCTTCTAATCCCGGCACTTGTCGTGCGGATGTAGGTTCACGTAGGTTCACCTCCAACCCCTCAGAGAAGAGGAGGAAGAAGGTGAAGACACGACCCTCTGACTTTTGAAGGAAGAAAGCAGAGAAATGGAGAGGGGCTGGAGAGGGGCTGTGTTGATGCAGAGAGTCCTGCAACGGCAGGTTGGCATCTTGACGCACATGGTTCACAGAACGCCGAAATTCTGTGAGCTTGGCAAGCCTGGCCCAGTTCCTGCCTCAACCATGCCATCCGCCTGTTTATTTTTTTTTTTCTCGTTCTTTCGTTCTCGATTGAAGTAGTTCATAAATCGAAGGGTGTAGTCAGTGCAGTGCATCCAAGGCCTGTCGTCCACCGACCCTCCCGATAAAGCTGTGCGCCGGGACCTCAGAGAAGTTGAAGCCTGCGACCACTCCTTGCGACCTTCCTTGCGACATATTCCTGCTCCGAGATTCAGAGGTCATGCCATGGGAGAGTCGGCTGGGCAGCCTTGGTGCCCGGCCAAGCTTGGTCGGTGTAAGCAGAGTAAGTGGTGAAGAGCTTGCTTCAAGCTGCGTCTTCGATGCGTTCGCCGGTCAGACTCCGCGTGAGCAGGTTCCCGATACTCAGAGGCACACTGGGACGGGATCACGCTGCGAGCTTGGCAGTTGGAATGTGTGGGCACACGGGCCTTCAGACATGCTGAGGGCAGCCTTCGTGGCCGATACCTTCACAATGTTACAATGTGGTAATGCAGATCACGTAAGATCACGTAAGATCACGTAAGATCACGTAAGATCACGTAGGGACTCAGGTTTGGGCATTTTGCAGCTGATGACTGTGGAAGGCCCTCGGTGAGCTTCACGTCCAAACCTTGGATCCAATTGGGCAGTGGGAGGATCGACAAGAGCTCACGCCTAATGAAGGTACAACCCTACCAACATCGATAACTCCTACCCGCAGCTGTTCTCCGAAGTCAACTGGCTCCCGTCCGTGGAGGTCTGGACATTGTCAAACAAAGTGGTCTGATCTAGTCTGGTGACCCTGGTGCCTTGAGTATTTCTCGAATTCCAACGCTACGCCGCCCGCCTCGGCCTCTTGAAATGAGCTCACGAATATGTTTGATTTTGCGCGGGCTGCGAGCTTTGCAGCAGAAAGACCATGCCGCAACCAAGACAGCATGAAGACATCCTAGCCCTGCGCCTGGAACCTTTCCTGTCCCAAACCTTGACTCCTCTCCTGTAGAAGGATGCGACCTCAATCCTTAAACGAAAGATGATCATTGGGTGGGAAGCCCGGAGCGTGGCAGGAGACGCTGGCTGAGAGGAGGAAGCCCCGAGCCCTGCACCCTGACCCCTTCCCGCACAAAGCCATAGCGCTGCCCGATTCAAGGGCTGACGCCGCTGGCCGACCCCCAAAGGTAAGGTGCACACGGAAGCCCGGGGGGTGAGAGGGGGAGGCGAGAGGGGGGGTAGGGTGGAGGCTGCCTTTTCCTTGTGAAATCGTGGTAAAGGGGGGCCCAGGGGTAGGGTGGAGGCAGGGATGGCGGCTTGAGAAAACACAACATTTGGTCCTTCTTCGGTATGTGTGCAGGGTGGACGCCGGGCATTGGGAGTCTGGGGTTTGGCATCTGTCATGACAACCGGCGGACAAGCAGAATTCTTGTCACATCGAGGCCCGAAATGAAGAAGGTGCCTTCGGCCTCTATTCTAGCCGATGAGGGCTTGTCCGGTTTCGCACCCCGGGAAGCTCGGGAAGGTTTCGGGAGGCTCGGGGAGGCCCTGGCACGCGACTTCTGCGGATGAAGACCTACGGTGTGTTGTATTGCTCAGAGTTGTCAGTGTTCATGGCAATCATGGATTTTCAGTTTGGTTGCGGTGCAGGCAAGCGCGAGAATGTTCCTCGGCGAGTCGGACCATCACTCACAACATGGGTTAGAGTATCAAACATTATCCACGGGTGCCCATGCCACGGACTTCCGCTCCGTGGCCTGCGCAAGGCTTTTGGCTTGAGTCGGCATGTGCCAGCCTTGCAGGACGGGTTTCCGGGAGAATTGGATGGTGCGAACCAACTTGCAGAAGCCCCAGCTTCATCTGCTGTCAAGGCGCTGATTTGTTCATGCTTGTGCACTGCAGACGCTCACGGATGTGGATGGCACACTCTTGAGCTCCTCAAAACCCGATGGATCTGCCTGAGCCTTACAGCCCCGGTAGTCACATGCAAAGGCACTTTCTATCGAGCTTTGTGGGGCACATTGGGCAGACCCCTGCTGAGTTGGTCACCGTCTACAATCCAGCACTGGCGGAGCAAAGCTGCACGACGCGGCCCCAGACATCTCAGCCTGTCCTGCTCGTCGGGTCGTCGACTAGCAAAATCGTCGTATGCGGATCAAGCTGCAAGAGTCTTCCGTGTGCGAAGGTACTGGGATGTGAGGGTCTGTTCCATTGGGCTGCCCAAAGCCCTCGGAAACTGCAGCCCCAATCTACATGCGATCCGTGCCATCGAACCGTAACCTAAACCCTTCCAGTGTTCCAGTCTGGTTGGTCCTCCGCCAGCCTGTGTGGTGCATTCACACACTGTTGTACGAGCCTGGCGCATCCGGAGCTAGCGCAGGGGGTGGCTTGTTTGTGAATTTGCCCTGTAAGCGCATGGTCGCTGAGGGAGTTTGCTGGCAGCTACTACAGCTGTCCGGACTTGCCGCTGCGGTACATGACGTGGGAGGCACCATCTGACCAGTACAAACATTGGCATCACATGCCTTCATGCAATTCATGCCCCTATGACCCAAGCAGCTTCTCAAGGCAGTCGGGGGGCCATCCCACCGCGTGCTCAGCAAGTTCAAGGCGCCGGAAAGTTGTCAACACGTCACTATCTGCACCGTCGCGAGGGGAATGCCTTTAATTGCTAGTGATGGTGGGTGGCAGTGGTTTCGGGGCCCGAGGGGGAGGTGATAAGGCTTTGCTGAGTTGATTCCCTGTACGAAGGCTTGGAGAGCTTCCGATGACCGTTCTACTTGGTCTCAGGGTCGGATGCCCCAGCTCCAGTCACAACTCCGCTTCTGGTCTCGGCAAGCCCATGCATGCGGGATTTACTTCTGCAGAATTTCAAAATAACATATCTGCTTGGAGCACTCCCACCCAGAATGTTGGCAATTTGTTCGTGGCCATTGATTGATCAGGTTCGGGGCTCCTCTGGTGGTCCGCAGTCCAGGGATAGTCTGGGAGTGGACGCCACAATCGTGAACATGGGATGGCAGTGGACGCTGGATCTGTGGCCGCTGCGCAGCTTGTGGTTAGGGCGCTCCAACGACACAGTGGGCTCGTTTAAACTTCCTTCTGCTAAAATCCACACAGATATTTTCAGCAAAGCAAGGACCGGCGTGTTTGGTAGAGAGACACATAAAAAGCACCATCTTTTCCTCAGGTACTTCAAGAAAGACCAAGAATTATCATCATCGAGCATCCCCCATTCTGGGACGGTGCCTTCAGTTACAAGCATAGCCGCTGCGCAGCCACAAGGGGATAAGCTGAATTCGTTTTCTAAACCAAGCCGCCCGGCTTTGGAGGCTGCAGTACCGTCTAGCAGCGGGCTTCATATTATATCCGATTTGCAACTCGTAGGCTCCACACTCTCACTTCTTGAGGGCACGTACACAAAAAGTCCCCCAGCCGTCGCACGTCCTCAGGTCCTATGCCTCAGAAAGGCCAGGCCCCAAGATGGATCCTTCCTGCAGAATTGGTCGATTGCTCGGTTGAACTCATTGAACTCCTCTCAGGTTGCATTCCCGATGAAGCGGATCAAGACCGAAATTGGAAGATCCGCACGCTCCCGCAGAATTGGCAGTGCTTGCAAAGAGACTATATAGAGATGCATGTCACGTTGTGATGTGCTTGCTCCTTTGATTCATGGGACAGGTCCAAATGACATGTACAACCTCACCATGTGCCGGCTTTAGCACCCCAAATGGCATCCGTTCGTTACCCTTGTGGCTCGGAGTAGAGACGCAGTTTTTGTGTTTCTTGTCGTCAAGGTTCACATCTCCGCCAAAGCACCACCGACTGTTCTGGTTCAACGACAATGCGGACTGTCTCGCCCTGTAAGGGCCAGTCAGACAACTGCACAGCTGTCTGAATCTTTGAGCCCAAGCTGTGAATGTCAGACAGTGTCGTTGAGAGGATGAGTCAATCCGACTTGACATCTTCCTGACCCAGCCGTTCAGACTGGAGGCGATGTCTGGAACACCGGTAACCCCTGAACCCCTAAGCTTTGAGCGCCCCTTCACCACCCCCTAACCCCGAAACTCCATGAAACTCCCCAAGCCCAAAACCTGCAGGTCTATGTTGATGGCTCGCTAATGCCCGAAGATTCATATGACACTGCCAAGCCTGGGCCCCAGACACAGAGGGCTTTGGCGGATTTCGGGATTGACTGATTTACTGTTGAGGGGTTTGGGGTCTAGGGTTGAGGGGCTTAGGGTTCAGCATTAGGGTTCACATTGGCTCACACGCCCCCCCCCCCCCCCCCCCCCCCGCGCGCGCGCGCATTCCGCAAGGAGACTCCGAGACTGCGAGCCGGCTACATCCATCTATTTCCTGGTCACCCCGAGCCCCCGACCTCGACCCTTGAACTGGAAACGGACACACACACAAACAAACAAAACCCGTCACCTGAACCCAGGCCGAAGAATTAGATGCGCTAAGCATCGCGAACAGTATTTGGCACATACCAAAGTATGTGCAAAGCACGTGCATTGAGCAGTCTCCTGGCCCTGCACTACCGTAGGCCGATCACTTTGCGACATCTGATCTAAAGACAAGTCGGGCGCTTTCCCATTGGCAGGTTGGATCCCCCGCGTTTGCCGGAACTCTCGGACGCTCACGGGGCCTATGCCTTCGATCCCCATGCGCTCGGACCTGAGGCAAATGTTTGGCTCATTTGGGCTCAGCACTTGAGTTCTTTCTAGCATTAGCATCCGGTGGTAGCAAGCAGCTCCAAGGCGTCGGTTCTATCTCATCATGAAAGGCGGGGTGTTCGATGGCCGTGCCTGGGCCTGAGTGAAAGGTTTCTTCTCTGACCATCTCTGACTTTGTCGTCCGAATGTTGGTCAGTTGGCCCCATGGCTGTCACCTCTACCCGCAGGATCAGCTTTGGGAAAAATAGTGAAAGGTGGGACATCAGAAGGCTAGCGTAAGTGCTGCAAGTCTTGCAGCAAGCATGGCGATAGCGGCGTATAAGACAGCACATCTTGCAAGCAGCCGCGCCAGCCATGGGGGCTATCGAAAGCTGTTGCGGTCCTCGCCAGCGCTGCCAAGAAGCTCCTCCGAACGATCGGCTGGACCGTGCACGCGCGCAGCCAGCTTCTCAAGAAGCTCAGGGACAGAGGCGGGCGGCCGTCGCAAAGCAGCAGCAGACAGAAACAGCCTTGGAGTGGATGCGTAACTAAGTCAGACAGTCAGACATGTCTTTGAGCGCAGGTCGCCTGGAGGCCACAGCCTGACGGAGCAAGAGGATGCGCTAACACAAGGGAAGCCTCTTCATTCAGCCGATGGTGCAGCGAGTTGCCCTGCTGAGGATTCTGAACCGCGTGGTGTTGAAGAGGAGCAGGAGGAGGTTCGTTTGGTGGAGCGAAGCACCTTCATCTCCTACGAGCCGGTGGCTCCCAGGCTTTTGGCGTTACAGCGCTCGCGCAGCGAGCCTGCGCTCCTCAGCGCTTGCGAGAACGGAGAAGATGCGGGGCAGGAGCCCCAGGAGCCTCAAAAGCCGCAGGAGCCGGAGCCCCAGCCGGCTCAGCCGGCTCAGCCGGATCCGGGCAAGTCCTTTGAGCACATCCACGCCTACTTGCCGTGCCATCCGACAGATAGCCCTTTCGAGCCGCCTGCCTATTGGGAGCTGCCCGCCTGGGCCTGGGAGCGGAGGGCGGTGCGGCGCCGCACCCCGCGCTTCAAGCTGCTGAACGCGATCCGACAACCGAACGGGGAGACAAAATGGGTCCCGTTCCCATGAGAGAGCTGTGGGCTCGCTCCAATGGGCAGCGCAGATGTGCTGCAGCGCAGCACTTGGATGCGCTCAGGCGCGTGCCTCTGAGTTGCATGCTTGGGAAAAAGCTGTTGCGACCACCGCAAATGAAGAATCCTCGTTTTCTCCGTCAGCTTGGCGTCGCGTGATGACGATGCGAACGTCTGTAGACTGGTGCAACTTTTATCGATGACCGCTGCAAGCGCTGGAGATGCCTCTGGTACGCAGCACATGTGCGGCAAGTGGGGGCGGCAAGTGTCGTTGTGGATGACATCTCGCAAGCCAAGGCTGCAGGTCCCACAGGTGTGTCCTCATGTGCCTCCATAGCGAAGTCGACGCCAGGTCAGTGCCAGGGCCGAATGTTGCAAGACGACGAGACATGCTGTCCAAGCTTGGCCGAGCAGCAAGTGTTGTTGTCGGTGACCTTTTTAGCGCTGTCTTCCTCCTCCACTCCGAAGCTGCTTGCGGCAGCTAGTTTGGGAAGTTCTGCCAAAAGCTCCGTTGCCAGGCCGAAGTCGTAAGGAACGACAAGCATGAGTTGAGCAACGCAGCATAAGAAACGCGACTCAGCTTTGCACTGGCCTGGAAACCCAACGCAAGAAGCCAGCGCAGAGGCTGCCTTGCATCCAGACGCAGGGTGGCACTGGACCGCGAGTGGGAGGAGTGGGTGTGGGAATGGAGTGAAGTGGACTGGAGGCGGCGACGCAGAAACTGAGAGTCCTGTGGTCTGTGGTGACGGGGTGGTAACGCCCCCAATTTGGCGCCACACTTCCTAGGACCTAGGGTGCTCGACGAAGATTGGTTCCAGAGTCAGCGTAGCTGGAGTCATTCTGTGTGCAAATGCAGCACGCCCTTCCATTCAAACCAGGCATCTTGCTTTGTGAGTCGCAGGGTCAAAGCATGCTAAGCTGATTGTAAACGCGGCTTGTCACGGCGAAGTGTTCAGGGCAGAAGCTCCCTACACTCTAGGCAGGGACAGGGCTGTAACGACCGGGCCAGCTGGGCTGATGGAATATGCTAAACTTGGGACAGTGTGATCTGGGGCGCGCTCCGGTCTGGAGCCACGCAGACAGCAGAGGACACGGGTCCGTTGGCCCCATGGCTGTCACCTCTGCCCGCAGGATCAGAATTCCATGTCAAGCAGTTCGTAAACTGACGCAGATCTTTGAACTTTGGGGAAAACAGTGAAAGGTGGGACATCAGAAGGCTAGCGTAAGTGCTGCAAGTCTTGCAGCAAGCATGGCGATAGCGGCGTATAAGACAGCACATCTTGCAAGCAGCCGCGCCAGCCATGGGGGCTATCGAAAGCTGTTGCGGTCCTCGCCAGCGCTGCCAAGAAGCTCCTCCGAACGATCGGCTGGACCGTGCACGCGCGCAGCCAGCTTCTCAAGAAGCTCAGGGACAGAGACGGGCGGCCGTCGCAAAGCAGCAGCAGACAGAAACAGCCTTGGAGTGGATGCGTAACTAAGTCAGACAGTCAGACATGTCTTTGAGCGCAGGTCGCCTGGAGGCCACAGCCTGACGGAGCAAGAGGATGCGCTAACACAAGGGAAGCCTCTTCATTCAGCCGATGGTGCAGCGAGTTGCCCTGCTGAGGATTCTGAACCGCGTGGTGTTGAAGAGGAGCAGGAGGAGGTTCGTTTGGTGGAGCGAAGCACCTTCATCTCCTACGAGCCGGTGGCTCCCAGGCTTTTGGCGTTACAGCGCTCGCGCAGCGAGCCTGCGCTCCTCAGCCGAGAACGGAGAAGATGCGGGGCAGGAGCCCCAGGAGCCTCAAAAGCCGCAGGAGCCGGAGCCCCAGCCGGCTCAGCCGGCTCAGCCGGATCCGGGCAAGTCCTTTGAGCACATCCACGCCTACTTGCCGTGCCATCCGACAGATAGCCCTTTCGAGCCGCCTGCCTATTGGGAGCTGCCCGCCTGGGCCTGGGAGCGGAGGGCGGTGCGGCGCCGCACCCCGCGCTTCAAGCTGCTGAACGCGATCCGACAACCGAACGGGGAGACAAAATGGGTCCCGTTCCCATGAGAGCTGTGGGCTCGCTCCAATGGGCAGCGCAGATGTGCTGCAGCGCAGCACTTGGATGCGCTCAGGCGCGTGCCTCTGAGTTGCATGCTTGGGAAAAAGCTGTTGCGACCACCGCAAATGAAGAATCCTCGTTTTCTCCGTCAGCTTGGCGTCGCGTGATGACGATGCGAACGTCTGTAGACTGGTGCAACTTTTATCGATGACCGCTGCAAGCGCTGGAGATGCCTCTGGTACGCAGCACATGTGCGGCAAGTGGGGGCGGCAAGTGTCGTTGTGGATGACATCTCGCAAGCCAAGGCTGCAGGTCCCACAGGTGTGTCCTCATGTGCCTCCATAGCGAAGTCGACGCCAGGTCAGTGCCAGGGCCGAATGTTGCAAGACGACGAGACATGCTGTCCAAGCTTGGCCGAGCAGCAAGTGTTGTTGTCGGTGACCTTTTTAGCGCTGTCTTCCTCCTCCACTCCGAAGCTGCTTGAAGCAGCTAGTTTGGGAAGTTCTGCCAAAAGCTCCGTTGCCAGGCCGAAGTCGTAAGGAACGACAAGCATGAGTTGAGCAACGCAGCATAAGAAACGCGACTCAGCTTTGCACTGGCCTGGAAACCCAACGCAAGAAGCCAGCGCAGAGGCTGCCTTGCATCCAGACGCAGGGTGGCACTGGACCGCGAGTGGGAGGAGTGGGTGTGGGAATGGAGTGAAGTGGACTGGAGGCGGCGACGCAGAAACTGAGAGTCCTGTGGTCTGTGGTGACGGGGTGGTAACGCCCCCAATTTGGCGCCACACTTCCTAGGACCTAGGGTGCTCGACGAAGATTGGTTCCAGATTCAGCGTAGCTGGAGTCATTCTGTGTGCAAATGCAGCACGCCCTTCCATTCAAACCAGGCATCTTGCTTTGTGAGTCGCAGGGTCAAAGCATGCTAAGCTGATTGTAAACGCGGCTTGTCACGGCGAAGTGTTCAGGGCAGAAGCTCCCTACACTCTAGGCAGGGACAGGGCTGCAACGACCGGGCCAGCTGGGCTGATGGAATATGCTAAACTTGGGACAGTGTGATCTGGGGCGCGCTCCGGTCTGGAGCCACGCAGACAGCAGAGGACACGGGTCCGTTGGCCCCATGGCTGTCACCTCTGCCCGCAGGATCAGAATTCCATGTCAAGCAGTTCGTAAACTGACGCAGATCTTTGAGCTTTGGGGAAAACAGTGAAAGGTGGGACATCAGAAGGCTAGCGTAAGTGCTGCAAGTCTTGCAGCAAGCATGGCGATAGCGGCGTATAAGACAGCACATCTTGCAAGCAGCCGCGCCAGCCATGGGGGCTATCGAAAGCTGTTGCGGTCCTCGCCAGCGCTGCCAAGAAGCTCCTCCGAACGATCGGCTGGACCGTGCACGCGCGCAGCCAGCTTCTCAAGAAGCTCAGGGACAGAGGCGGGCGGCCGTCGCAAAGCAGCAGACAGAAACAGCCTTGGAGTGGATGCGTAACTAAGTCAGACAGTCAGACATGTCTTTGAGCGCAGGTCGCCTGGAGGCCACAGCCTGACGGAGCAAGAGGATGCGCTAACACAAGGGAAGCCTCTTCATTCAGCCGATGGTGCAGCGAGTTGCCCTGCTGAGGATTCTGAACCGCGTGGTGTTGAAGAGGAGCAGGAGGAGGTTCGTTTGGTGGAGCGAAGCACCTTCATCTCCTACGAGCCGGTGGCTCCCAGGCTTTTGGCGTTACAGCGCTCGCGCAGCGAGCCTGCGCTCCTCAGCCGAGAACGGAGAAGATGCGGGGCAGGAGCCCCAGGAGCCTCAAAAGCCGCAGGAGCCGGAGCCCCAGCCGGCTCAGCCGGCTCAGCCGGATCCGGGCAAGTCCTTTGAGCACATCCACGCCTACTTGCCGTGCCATCCGACAGATAGCCCTTTCGAGCCGCCTGCCTATTGGGAGCTGCCCGCCTGGGCCTGGGAGCGGAGGGCGGTGCGGCGCCGCACCCCGCGCTTCAAGCTGCTGAACGCGATCCGACAACCGAACGGGGAGACAAAATGGGTCCCGTTCCCATGAGAGCTGTGGGCTCGCTCCAATGGGCAGCGCAGATGTGCTGCAGCGCAGCACTTGGATGCGCTCAGGCGCGTGCCTCTGAGTTGCATGCTTGGGAAAAAGCTGTTGCGACCACCGCAAATGAAGAATCCTCGTTTTCTCCGTCAGCTTGGCGTCGCGTGATGACGATGCGAACGTCTGTAGACTGGTGCAACTTTTATCGATGACCGCTGCAAGCGCTGGAGATGCCTCTGGTACGCAGCACATGTGCGGCAAGTGGGGGCGGCAAGTGTCGTTGTGGATGACATCTCGCAAGCCAAGGCTGCAGGTCCCACAGGTGTGTCCTCATGTGCCTCCATAGCGAAGTCGACGCCAGGTCAGTGCCAGGGCCGAATGTTGCAAGACGACGAGACATGCTGTCCAAGCTTGGCCGAGCAGCAAGTGTTGTTGTCGGTGACCTTTTTAGCGCTGTCTTCCTCCTCCACTCCGAAGCTGCTTGCGGCAGCTAGTTTGGGAAGTTCTGCCAAAAGCTTCGTTGCCAGGCCGAAGTCGTAAGGAACGACAAGCATGAGTTGAGCAACGCAGCATAAGAAACGCGACTCAGCTTTGCACTGGCCTGGAAACCCAACGCAAGAAGCCAGCGCAGAGGCTGCCTTGCATCCAGACGCAAAGTGGCACTGGACCGCGAGTGGGAGGAGTGGGTGTGGGAATGGAGTGAAGTGGACTGGAGGCGGCGGCGCAGAAAGTGAGAGTCCTGTGGCTGTCCTTTCCTTTGCAAAATGTTGCAGCTTAAAGGCAGTGGAAAAGAGCCAGGAAGACCCAGCCGGCATACGCGTGAGCCCCTGGTAACCCCCCCAATTTGGCGTCGCACTTCCTAGGGTGCTCGACGAAGATTGGTTCCAAATGTAGCATAGCTGGAGTCACTCTGTGTGCAAAGCAGAGCCTGCAGAGCCCTTGCAGAGCCCTTGCAGAGCCCTTGCAGAGCATGGCAAGTCAATGCAAATGGTGTGGATGAGTGTTGGCTTTGCTGCTTTGCTTTCCGCGTTTAGAGTGGTTTGGATGCCCAGCTTCCTGGGTCTTGCAAGGCTGCAACAAGGGGCGGAGGTTTCATCCTGTTGCGGCTGCTGCAGGCCTGAAGTTGATCAGAAGTTGATGCGTGACATGTGCCTCATGCATCTGACGGAGCCAGGTGGTGCAGATCTCAATGACTGTGCCAGCTCCCCAAAGATCAGTCCCTGTCGTGTCACCTGGGCTTGCGCTGAATCAGGCATGCCAAAAAGACATTCCCACTCGTAAAGGCTAGTGTAGACATGCACAAGGGGTTAAGTCGGCTCATGGCGAAATTCAGTTCATGCCGGCCAGCATCCAGGAGTCTAGAGGATCCCTGCACGCTGTGGCAGAGGTGTTGCTTTGGACTTGCTAGATTGAGGTCCGTACCCTTGAGCGAATTTGATGGAGATGCCATGGTTGCCAACGTTGCTACGCTGTTGGATGCTTAGATCTTCATGCACAGTTCATGCAGGTGCTCCCAAAATCTTGTTTCCACGAGAGCCAACTGTCCAAGGCTCCAGATCGATCCTTCGCGAATCAAGATCGTCTCTGTGCAGAGCAGAGCAAGCCCGGCTGGATTGCTGCCATTGCTCCCTAAATGCGGACCACTGCAAGTTGGGTCCGATACAAGCGCTGGCATGCGCAGCCTTTATGACCTGCACTTGGGTCAGGCGCAAGTGGCTGCACAAGGTGGTCGCTTGCTGCAGTCTACTGATGGTGTGTGGGGATCTGAGCATGTGTTGGCACGACTTCTGGGAGGTGACTAGCAAGACATGGGATTCAACAGTCTGCATTGCCTTGAAGGTCACTGACATTCCAGATAGTGGAAGAGAATCCAGAACCTGTTCCCGGAGAGGCAGGCCTTAATCTAGAGTACCACGACTAATACAGCTTCTGCTTTGGGCCTGCGAGGCATTCTCTGAGTCGGGCGCTCCGCGAGGACCTTAGACACGATCATCCGTGCCAACCGTGGATCCCGAAGTAAACCCCAGGAGTCATGCAGGAGTCTACATTTTGGAGTGCTCTGCAGGTGGGCTAAGGCGAGGCATCGTCTGAGAAAGCAAAAACCCGAAACCACATGTCTCGGGGCCCCGGGTTGGGCAAAGCCGCACGGCATGACTGTGTCGGCGAGTGGGCTTGTCACAGCGAAGCCCCAAAGTGTTTTGGCCCATCGGGCATCCATTGCTGCTCAAGCTCCGAGGCCTCCAAATGGCTCTACTTGGGAACAGGTGGTTCCAGCGGCTCCAGCATCAAATGACACCGCCGGCAATGAGACAGGAAATGCGACAGCAGGACAGCCTGCGCGCCCTTCCCCCTTATACTGGTACCATGGAGGCATCAGCGCCAGCGCGCTGGTTCTCGAAATCTCCTGTCTGCAGGAGAGGACTCTACAGAAAATGCCTTCGAGTACAGCGCGCAGGGTCTGCAGGAATTGGCAACCCTCGTGCAGCACTGGCCTGAGAGACTCAGAGCTGGTTTGCTATGGGTCTGCTGATGTCTGCTGGCATGTGCTTGAAGAAGAAGGGACATCTAAGGGTCTTGCAGAATGCCTCCGAGGCTCGTGACTCAGGGCTTCCTCCCGCTTCGATTCCCTGCTTTTCGTTTCTTTCGCCCTGCAGACTGGAGCCCTGTCGCAAGCTCTGAATGCCGACGTCATCATTGAGAGTGTGCCCTGGCTTGTCCTATTGGGCGGGTTGGTCTAAATTTCGGGCCTTTTCTTGGGCACCCTGATCTAGGGGGAATATGTATACATACATATATATATACACACACATATATGTAGATATAGTCATCCTTGAATAGATAGAAATTGGGTTTCGGGAGAGGGTTTTACTTTTAGTTTTTTTTTTGGCGTTTTCCCGCGTTTGTCGAGGAACCCATGCATAGAATCTTGGAACCCATAGATGGAATACCTGAGGAACCCATACAAAAACATTTGAACCCGTAGACCCCGACCCCTAGGGCGCCTCTTCGCCCTAAACTTTAGGCCAAGATTCTCTCTATCGTTTTGGGGGGCTTTTGATATTTGATGTATCGTTTTGGAAGCTTGTTTTAACTAGTTTTTTCGGGTTTCCACACATTCCCGATCGAAAGGGCCCATAGATCGGGTATGCGCTGCTCAGATCGAGCTGACGGATACCAGCGAACCAGAGGCCCTAGTTTGCTCGGGCTCTCTTGCAGGCAGTGTGTGCACAGTCTTAAAGCATCTAGAACAAGCTTGGTATCATCTCCTCTTCATGTTGGCTGCTGGAGAAGCCATTGCCAAGAAAGCGTGTCGGGTGCGCCGAAGCTGTTCCACATGTGATCCCGGCTGACAGGCGAACATTACTGATGCGAACGCCACCGAGACAAACACAACTCTTACTACGTCCACCAGCTCACAAGCGAATGACACTGCCGCCGGAGCCTCAATCATGCAGCTTGCGAGCTTGGTCTTTTGCAAGTGCTTCGCTCTAAGGATGCTCCGGAAATCGTGGAGGCTGTGCAGCTGCAATCGCCCATAGATTGCAAGAGATTGCAAGGGCCCCTTGCAGGATGATGGCTTGGTGGCATCTATCCTCATTGGGGTGCGCAGCTTGGGAGATTCAGAAGAAGCGTCGAGAAAGCGTCGAGACCTACTGTAGCTGAGAGCTCCCTGAGCTCTCAGCTGAGTACCTTGGGCTTCCAGGCTGCAGTCGGTGTCGGAGTGGGTGTGTTGATGATGGGAGTTGGCTACATTGCTTGGCCCCTAGACTTGCGTCCCGCAGTGACCGGGGGGTGGTTGCATATGGCTGTCTGGTTGCTGGATGTTCACAAACGTTGACTGCGCGTACCGGTTTAGGTGAGGAGACGCCTCTACTCAACTTACTCAAGCACTGCCTCGTGCCCAGAAATGCCCAGTGCAGGCAGCAGACAGAAACGCGACCCTCTGTGACTGCAAGGTCCACTCCTCTGACGACCCTGCCAGTCCGGTGTAGGACTGTCAAGGCAGATCGGGACACGGTGAGGTGAGGTGTCTAGAGACGTGCTAGAAGAAGTATGGAGTGCACTTCGAGATTGCCGGCGCACCCAGCGTCCCGGGGTGCTGCTGCCGCATTCTGCTGCCGCATCCTGCTGCATGCTGCCGTTGCTGCTACATCATCTGCATCTGCTGCATTTCATGTCTCCTCAGCTTGACGGCGCATCTCAGCACGGAGCCCCAGAGCCCCTGCAACTGCCGCCAGGATGGTCTTCGGGGCAGCTGTAGCTCGTCCCACACGGTGGAGACCGAGCCACTGCATCAGCTGCTGAAGGGAAGCCATCTAAGATTTGTCGCAACTCCGGATTTTGATGCAGAGACAGTTTTCGTCCTGTGCTACACACTCTGGACGCAGAGGGGGCTGCTTGAGCCTCCCGAAGCCTTTAAATAGTGCTTTCCGCCGCTGCTGCGATGTGAAGCGCTTGGCTAAGCCATACCCAAGCCACAACATGCAGGACCATCGAAACGTGACTTTAAACTTTGCACGAGCTCTAGTGACTCTAGTGATGACTGCAATGCAGCGGCCGTAGACCATAGGAGCCCTCGAGTAGGCGAGGTGAGCTCACCACGTCTGCTTGTGAGTGCACAACGTTGCTCAACTCTTCGACACGTGACAGGGTGCCACCCGGAGCCAGCTATTTCAATCTTGGGCAGGACTGCGCAGTCCCGTCCCTCATCAGTGTCAGGTGTAGAATCGTAGAGCTCAAGAGCGCGCTGCAAAGCGGGATACTGATAGCTTCCATGGCTCCATCAAGACTGCGGCTTCCCCATGGCCCTGGGCAGGCATATCTGTCTTTGAATCTTGGAAGCTGGAATGGAAGATCAGAGGTATTTTTGTGGGAAACCAAAGCGTTCTCCGTCGCTACTACTATCTGTCTGTATTTCATCCGTTAACACCTTTGTCTGACTTCCGCTCCTGTTCAACAAGAGGCGTGTTTCCGGTTGCAGCCCGATGTCCAGATTTCAGGACAGCTTCACTCCGAAGTGTTTGATGTCATGTCCCTGAGCTTCTTGGATCATGGTTGTCAGGCCGTCGTATACAAGTTGCGACGAGCTTTCACCAGCCGTGATCATAGAATTTATTTCCTTCCAGACAGTGTGCGTACTCCTCAAGACTTCAACTCTTAGAGTTGACCAAAACAAGTGGACTCCTGCAATCTCCTGCATCATCGCAGTGTCGCGGTTCGCACATGGCCTGAGCACAGTGAGTTTGTGGTGATGTGGTGCGCGCACTGCACACACACAGTGACACACGACTGTGCGGCATTTTCAGACGCAGAGTGTAGAGAGTGATATGGCCGCATGCGCATGGGGCCATGGCCCAGGGCTCAGTGCTTTGAAGTCGTCGCCAGCACATGTTGCCAAGAGGATAAGCTCGTGCCTGCAGCTGAGTTTGAGGCGTTGGAGGCAGCTTTGGAACCAAAACGTGATTGGCAGGACGTGATTGGAATGTGGTGCGGCGTAGTGGGCACTTTGGGCACTTTGGGCCGTTTGGCACTTTCTGCGCGTTGTCTTTGTGCATGGGTACCTGCTGGCCATGCCTCCCTTGAGAGGAGTTCAAAGCATGGATGGCCAATCACTCAGAGTCGGAGCACAGAAGCCCCGTGAAGCCATGATCACAGAATTTTTGCAGGTCCGGGGTGTCCGGGACATCTGGTGATTGTCAAGTGTGAAGGCTCTGCAGCCCCGGACACCACGAAGACGGGAAGGTGGGCAAGTCGACTCCTTTGAGATCCCAGGGACGGCCATGGAATTCCGACTGTCAGGGGAGATTCTGTCGTACCGGAGCACGTTGGCGATAGCCGGCAGCTGCCTCGAGTCTTGCAAAAGCAATGTGAAAAGGGGAGAGCCCGCATTCTTAGGTGCGACTGCTCGGCGTTCTTTTTCCCCACCCCCCCAAGGTTTGAGAATCACTGACATGAGCGACGATGTAAAACCTGCGTCAACCTCGCTCCATGAGCCTGGCACCAAGGCTATGTCTCTTGCGGATGGTTGTAAGCCGCTAGGCCCTTGTTTACGCTCCAGTGACTCAGGTCTGCGCTCTACAAACATCCTGTCCCTGTCTGCCTACCTGCTCTGGAAGAGGCTAACTTTTTCGGTTGGAATTTGAGGCTGCTGCATTCGCCGCTTCGGTTTGAATTCTGTTCAATTGCAGGTGAGGGTGAACTGCACAAGTGAAACGCGAGTGACAAGATGATTAGATTCCTGCATGCAGACCCGTCAAAAGTGGGAGCGTGATCGAGTTTGTCAATCGGTCAAGTACGGTGGGTCTTACGTCCGCGGCCCAGCATGGCCCAGCATGGCCCAGGCCCAGCATGGCCCAGCGTGGCCCAGTATGCTCAATCTCTCTTCAGGTCGCTGAACAGTTCAGGATGTTGATTCTTAAGAGTTTACGGGAGAAGTTCGTGATCTGCACCCTGTCTGCACCCTGTCGCAGCAACCATCGACGTCAAAAGCGCGCTTCACCGTGGATTTGCCCACGGGATCTCAAAATCGTGCGCTCGGCGCGGCTTGAGTCGTTTCTGTCCTTGTTCGCATGCTTAATCCTCAAAAAGCGATGAACTGATGTTGTCTGACCTCGCCAGGCAAATACTGTTTCGAAGCCAAAGTGGACCCGACCAAAAGTGTTCTGGCTTCTCAGATTGCAAAGGACCAGAGACTCTCAAGATGCAAAATGATGAAAGCAGCTGTGGCGAGCTCCCTTGAGATTCTTCATCACCTCTTGTATCCGTTGATCTCTTTGGGACTCTGCATGCATGTGGGTTCGTCAGGAGCAGCAGCAAGCGCAAGAAGAAGAGCGACGGATGACCAGGTCGATCCCCAAGCAGTTGCATCCATCGCAGCTGCAGGCTCACTGAACATCACAAACCCGAGATTTCTGAAGCATGAATGCCCGAGACCCCTAAACCCCTCCGCTCGCTCAATGCTAAATCCGAAGCCTCGGACCTGAAAACGGAACCCTGGCATCATCTGCTTGCCGCCCCTAAGGCGGAACTCCCTGATGAAGATGATGGGCGGGGCAGTGGGAGTGCAGGCACCACTTGAATTCTTTGGTTTTAGGGGGTTTCAGGGAATTCAACTTATACTGATCCAGGAGGTCGCTATCTCTTTGCATTTGAAGCGAACTGGCTGTGTAATTTATATATAGAGTTGGGATTTGGGTGTGCAAGTGGCAGGACACTCCAGACCCTGCCAAGCGTTACCGCATCGTCGAGAAGCTTATCAACAGAAACAGCCACGCCCTCATTTGTGCGCCGTTGCCTCCACAATGATCTGATGTGTGCAACTCAGAATTTCAAGACGACACCCTGGAGAAAATCTGGGAGGAGCTGGAGCAGGCCGAACGCTAGAAGCCGATAAGGTGGCAAGTTCCACATCCTGTACTTGAGTCATGTGCAGGAGGTGCGTTCAAGCTGAGTGCATTTCAAGTTGAAAGCCGTGACTGTAAAGTTTGGTATTGCTTCGTACAATGCCACTGACGAATGCCGTTCTGCAAACGAAAGATATCTGTCGGGGCTCCAACACAACAGGAAGAGATGAACATGACGAATACGCGAGATGACGTAATTCGCGTACTGTTTTCTAGGAAGCGGTTTGGCATTTTTTGCATTCTTTCGCGATGGAATTGGTGCCTAGTTATCCTAGTTGCACACTTGGATTGGCAAGGGTGCCAGACGTTGAGGGCATCCCCGCAGACGCCACCACACACACCTCCGCGACCGCGATGCGATCCCGATCCTGGATGTCAGGCGCCCGCGGCGCCATGTGCGCGAGCCATCGTGACAAGCTTAGTATTTGGTAAGGCTTAGATGTCCGACTTCCTCAGCTTGGGAATCGCGAAAAGCAGGCCCTGAAGATGATGCAGAAGGTTGTAGGCGCGCGGTGCCAGAGCAGTGAGCAGTGAGCAGTGAGCACTTGCGGTCTTGACAAGGATCTAGTGGATGGAAAGGTTCATCTTGACAGCTATCTTCCGTGAAGTCATCACACCCTGAGTCCTTGAGGGGTTGTTAAGGTCTGGATACTAATCGCCAAATGTTATTGAGACTTGTTCACCCTTGGAATCGCATGCTAGGTCAAATCTCTAGGTCAAATGGTGAAGACACGAGGAGTCATCAGTCTTATGCTTCCATCTTCTGAGCATCTTCACCATCACCCGGAAACATGAGACTCATTAGACTCACATGACTCACATGTTTGATCCATTCTGACCCCTGCTGCAGCTGCCTCCGGTTGCCCGTCAAGCCTGGAAGTGGGGCCTCTCAGCATCTTTGCCCAGCGCTGTCTTGGCAGCACTGTGCTGCCCCCGCAAGACGTGACATCTCCGCAAGGCTCCGATCTTCAATTGGATGAGGAGCAAGTTCAAGCAAGCCGTCGGCAGCTCACGGGTGGTAAGGGTGTCACGAGCAGCGGCACAACCTCAGCACGGCCCTGCGTGCATGTTCAAGTCGCTGAGAGGTGAAGGCGAACCCTTCTCTTACCCTCAGCAAGGACAAGTGTCATCGTGTCTGAAGTGTGTAGACCTCGCAGCATTCGAGATTCATGCCGTTTTTTCAAAGATGCGCAGGAAGGCTTCTTGGAGTTCTGCAAGTTTGCTGGCCTTCTGCTTGAGTGAGCCAGGGCTGCCAGGGCTGCTGACCTTTTTTTGACGAAGCAGAGGCCTTGGGTCGCAGCTTTGCTTGCTTGCGTCGCAGGTACGAGACACCTGAGGCCGAACGACGCCAAAGCTACCAGGGAATTCCCGAAGAGCTTGTCCTTCTGGACGACTAACTGGTTGACTGAAGACGCTTGGGCAACACTGCGCTTTGGGTGACAACGGCCCTCTTCTCCGAAAGGAGCTGCGTCCTGAGTACACCTTTCAGGGTCTGCACCAATGGACCTCCAACAGAAAGCAAAACAGAGAAGCGCCGTAAGTTCCCGAGATCCCACCAAGCTCTTTCAGCAAGTTTGGGCCCTTTGCTTATGCGCGAGAAGCCCCAGTAGGGACCCAAAGTGCCAGAGATGTTTAGACCGACCCTGACCCTATCGCCGTTCTGCAAGGCGACGGGCTAGCTTTTCAGTGGAGTACTGCATCAAGCCTCAAGCCCCGGAACTTCTGGTCCCCTAGGATACCAACTTCACCATTCGAAATTGCCTTCGTCCTAGATCTGGCGCGCCTCCTAGCGTTAAGGCATCTGGTGCAGACTGTCCACGTAGCCTCTTTGGTGCCAAAGTCTTGAATCTCGATGCAGCATGGCAGCATGGTGGCATGGGCATTGAAGCATGCTGCACTCTGCCAACATTTCAAGTTACAGGCCCTACTCCGGCTGTCCCTGCTGCAGTCGTACCTTGATAATGCTGACCAAGCCCCCATGTGTTTCTGGCTGGTCTCTGTTTTTGGGGTTGCGTTGCCTGGAAGGGCGGCGTCTGCGATCTTCGAAGAAGATGGCACAAACAATTCACAACAAGTGTTGCAGCCGGTCGTTATAGTTTGCAAAAATTGCGATACCCGACTGCGCTTGCCCACTTGGTTGCAGAACCTTGGTTCAGCATCTTTCATGTTGGCTGACGTAGAGGTTCTTTGTTGAGCATAGGGAAGATGCGTGCTTCATGCCTCAGGGAGCGTGCTGAGTCTTTGCGCAGCTCACAACATGAGTACACCAGCTCCTGGCCGTAGCCTAGCAACGTCATTTCGACTGACTTTGATGTCTCTGGAGTGCAGCCTGCGTGTTTAGATCTGCAGACAGCAAGTTGCAGAATCGTGCACATCGTGGTGACATCGTTTGGCAGCCTTAGCAAGCACACCCCCAAAATCCCAAAACCCTAAGCCTCGTCGACCCCCTCCCTCGGGGCAATGCTCCCTTGGCCGACTACTTGTCAAGGCTGGAGATTTTGAGGATTAATGATTTTAATGGTCACGCACAATTCATCAGCTTCGTCTTTGGTCATTTGCTTATGGTATTGTCTAGGCGTTGGGGTGCATTAAGGTCTGGGATGGTACGGGACTCCATCTGGTGCCATCCCTTGTGAAAGCCTACCTAAGAGATGCAAAGTACTCTCCAAGCAGCCGGGGCACGACTGCTGCTTGTGGTTCGTAAATCGTTGGCTCGGATACTTAGAGAATTTGCCGACGGATGTGAAATCTGTTGAGTCAAAGTCAAGGGGCGTCTCCAAGCTCACATGTTGGCCTCTTGCCACACATGCCACTTACTGCCAGCCGCGTTGATTTCTGAGGGTTTATGTGTAGCAAGGCGGCATTCCATATTCGATATCAGAGCTGGGATCAACAGCTTGAGACAGGGCTGCTGAAGTGTTGACTGCGTTCCCAAACATCCACCTGGTCGTCGCGCGATGTACCGGCGGTTTGTGGCCTTTCAGAGGCGTCACCCCGTGTTTACCAGTGCAGCCACAGGAGGTGCGGTTATGAGCTTGGGCGACACGGCTGTTCAGCTCGCCGCAGCTGGAACTTGGGACTACCAACGAAATGCAGTGGTCAGTGCCTACAATGGAGGACGGGCCCGGGCTTGCAGGCTGCTTTTGTTGCTTGAAGATATTGCAATAATGACTTGACTTTTGTCCTTCTTGTGGCTAGGAATGTCCCCTTTCTTCTACTACTGGTGGCAGCACTTGGATTCAATTTGGCCTGGAACTGGGGGCGCAGCTGTGGTGCGAAAGACCCTCGCGAACCAACTAGCCGTGGCACCATTCAACAGCACCATGTTCTTGACCTGGAGCACGGCCATGGAGTGTGGTCCTCGGCATTGTTGCTTGCAGTGATGGATGTTTGTTCTGCCAGGTATGCCATCTCGTGCTGTGAAAAGTGAGTTTTGCCATTCCCATCCGAGTAGATGCAGTGGCCGCTGTCAGGTCTCTGATCAAAGGTGACTGCGTGGCCGATGATGGCGGCCCCTGTCTGTTTCTCGGCTTTGTGCTTTCGGCATACGCAGGAACTAAGCAGCCCCTTTTACTTCGGCACACGCCCGGCAAGTTTCTGCAAGTTATGGTTCTTTCTGGGACCCGAAAAAGCGACTATACTATCAGAGTGTAGAGAACTGGCATGAACTGACCAGCTGTTGAATGCACGCACCTCTGCCTTGCCGCAGCGGTCTTTCAGCCAAGGCAGACGATCTGGGAGAAGGCTGCCCTGCACGGCTAGATAAGTAGGATGCAATCTTCATCAAGACTTCTCCAGCTTTCTGAAGCTGACCCTTCCGCGGCCAAAAACCCTAAACCCTAAACCCTACACCCTAAACCCTAAGCCCTAAGCCCTAAGCCCTGAACCCTGAACCCTGAACCCTGAACCCTGAACCCTAAACACACAAAGCAGCAACGAAGTGTTGCTTCTTTTGTGGCCCTGAGGTGGCATCCAAGGCGCAGGCCGAGATTCCGAGCTTGGTGCTCTCTTCATGTGGGTTCTGGCTCCCTGCAAATGCGACGAACTTTATGACTCTTGGATTGTTGGGTACATGTGTATAATATGCCATAATATACGATAATGTCTATAATATAGTTATTGAGTCGAGAATTGTCGTGAAGGCCGTGAAACACGCTGCTGCCCTCAGCACTTGCATGCCAGCCGAGGTTCATGCCCAACCATCTGCGGGTCGTCTTCATGTCTTGCTGCGCTGTTTGCTGGGGAGCCTACATCACCTACGTGGTGCACCGGTGATGCAGGCAGCCAAGCAGCCCTTCTCAACGAGCACGATTCAGTATGGAAGTGCCAACCCAGTCTGCTGATTTGGACTTCAACGCTTTGACAAGCGAACTCTGTGCTCTTGGTATGGACAACTGCAAGAACCAGGATCCCGCAACATGCAATCTGCAGAGAAGCTGCGAAGCAACGAGTGCTCAGTGGCTCAGTGGACATGGCAAGTTTTGGCTTCACCGTCGCTGCAAAGGACGCTCAGAGGCTCTGACCAGTGCGATGTGCGACTTCCGAGGGCTACGACCTGAAGTGCCTGAGCGCAAGTCTGAGGGAAAACTCGCGCGGCCAGAACGGCAATGAAGTAGGAAAGTTCATCAACCAGTGTTGATCATGACCGATGTGGTCACTTGATTCTAAGCCGGTTCTAAGCCTCACGAAAACCGCAAGTTCTTTCCAAAGCCTCTAGATCGTGCGGAAGGTCGGCTGCCTCGCTCGGGAGCGAAAACGACTTAGAGATGGCACGATGAAGCAAGAAGTGCTTCCCACAGCCCCGACTGGGCACAGCCCACGGACTATCCGACCCCGCGGTCGTCAAAAACATAGATTGCTCAGAATCTGGTGGAAGCATCAGTTGGTGGTTGCTTTAGTTGGTGGATGTATTCTCAACCGAGCGATGTTTCAATGTTCTGCAGTCCTCTGCAGGCAGAATCCGTGGCCTCCCGCGGCGGCTTGCTTGAGCCCTTGGCACGAGCTTATGTGAGAGCATGACTTGATGCAGATGTGGAGTCGTGAGCTGCACGGTTCATCTGAGAAGCATGAAAACATGTGCGAGCGCAAGTTGAGCGTGAGAGATCGGCCAGGTAATGTTCAACACGGGGGATGGCATGCTGGAGGCCAGGGCCTTGAGAACTTGAGAACTGACCAACAGGAAAGAGGAGGGGACAGGCGAAGTATCGGCACGAGGAGACGAGGCGATACGATTGAGGGAAGCGGTCCAAGCTCGCGAACTGAGGAGCGACTTCTGGAGTTCCTCTGTGCCCCACCCGCCTATGACTGGGAGCCCACGTGCGCCGCCCGCACCAGCACATGGTGGCACCATGCTTTGCCCATGTCTGCCCATGCTGCAGTTCAGTTCCAGCTGCACGACATGCAAAGTGAATGTGCCACTGTGCTCAACTGCGCAAGCAAGCCTTTCTATGCCTGCCTTGCGGCTGGCGGCATTGCACTGCAGACACCAGGCACAGTCGGTGACAACTCACACGTCGAAGTGAGGGTTGTAGTCCAGCAACCTCAGATTCCTGTCTATCCGGACCAGCCGAAATCGGAGCACATCTGAACATGTCTTAGCCGCTTAGCCTAGACTCGCAGTCCCTCCAAAACGTCGAACTCCCAGCACACAGAGCATGGTGCGAATGGGCGCTTCTTTGGGTGCTGCCGCTGCAGTGCTGTGGCTTCAGTGCCAAGAAGGATGTGATTGGACGTACATATCACAGCACAGCTGTTTATAAACATCATGCATTGATTTCGGTGCATTTCTGCTGCCGCTCTGCGCCCAACCCAACCCGACCCCAACCCTTCCCCACGACAGGATCTGCACAGGCGCTCCAACCTTCCAGCTCGTCGAGCGCGTGGGACGGGAGCTCAGTCTGTCCGCAGACACAATGAAATAGTGCCAGCAAGCCAGGATCTTTCTGCGAGCTCCAGGGCACAACATAGATTCAGAGAAACGTTGCGGACTCCTGGCATTTGAGATTGGATGCGGAGGCCCAGATTGCAGGAACCGTCCTCGAGGCAAGACGGCAAAGTACGGACTAGTCTTGGTGTTGTATTGTTTTGCAAGCGAGATGAGCTGCTTGTCGTGCGCAAGTTTGCACCAGGTGGGTAACACTGTGTTGCTGTCCTTCGGACTCTCGGAGCTCCTCCTCCGTCAGCCCGGGGGCCCACAGATGTTCGCGCCGTACATTCTCTCGACGTCATTTCAGCTTCTGAATGGGGAGATGCTCTGCAAACACCTTTCCTTGGTTCAGTTTGGCTCTAACGCCCTGGCATAGCAGATCACAGGAACATCCACCCAGCCGCCACAGTAGAGAGCAGACTTGGATTTATACCGCTCTGGGACCCCATCCCCGAAAGATGCATGAGGCACCCTCTACCCTTCATTGCCAGAAAACCTTTGATCTCATGCCTTTCCTGATCCTGGATCCGAGGTTTACAAAGAGTTGGCTTTTCAAAGGCTCCATTACATAAGAATTTTAGCAGTTTACGATTAGAACTTTTCCAAAATCGAGTGGGATGTTGCAAGCACCCAATCAAGCAATACATTAACCGCATCATCCTGGAACTTGGAGCCCCATTCATCTAGCTGTTCTTTTTTCGAAGGTCTTGGAATCCATCTCACCTCTCAGCCTTTCCCATGAATCCTTTCTCGAACAGCTCGGATTTCTAGGCCCGCGAATGCCAGAGCAAGACGGTAAAAGTCTCCCTGTGCCGACCGTATCTGCCCGAGATCCCGTTTTTGGAGGTTTCATGAGCATTCATGTCCTCAAGGAAGAGGCAGCGATGATGGGCTCTTCCCAATCTTCAACGCAATGAAACATAGGACGAAAAGAGAGCGCTTAGGCTTAACCTTTACCTTTCCCTTCGCGCGCCATCAAACTCACAACGCCTTGGCAACTTTTCTTTCCCTGTTTTCCTCTGAACTTTCAAGTGAACGCACGCATCAAATCGTTCTTCACCGAGATGACAGCGGGCTGTATTCGAGCATGTCCCACTGCCACAATGTACCAGTGCTTGCCAGTCACAGAAGCCTTGACTCCGATGCTCGGGGCCCTGCAGCTGTGGCTCGCAGAGAAGAGCACCACGAAGTCACGCAAAGAAATGTGAGCATACTGCAAGCACAACAGACGCAGGTGTCGCAGCACCTTCTGCCCCCTAGTGTCTTAGCTCTAAAGGGCTTTGGAAGGCAAAGCTTTGAATTCTGTTACAGTTGCTTCGCAGCTTTGATGGTTCGATGCTGAGCCATAGCATGCATCATCCTCGAACATTTGAGACGGGGTTTGTGTAGCAGGTGATTTTGCCAGAGATGCTTTGTAGCCATGGATGGCGACGAAGATTTCTTCGAACAGTTCAAAGACGAGAGCTACGATGACTTCTTCTCGCGAGAGCAACCCTCCCAGCCTGCACAGCCGCACAAACAGGACCACATGGACCAAGCTGCTAAGGAAGAACCGGAAACTCATAGAAGCTGACGGAAGATGCAGGTGACCACTCTGCGCACCACTGAATCAGCAAAGTTTGAATCCTGTTCAGTATTCATTCGCTAAACATGCTTGTGCCATCTTGTGCCCGAGACAGGACGGTCCGAGCTTCTTTGCCATCCATTCCGATGACGATGGCACTGACCATGAGGATGGGCCAGGTGAGATGGCTCAGACCACACCTTGCCTGACCATGCCACAGGCTCCACCCCCCGAAGACCAGTTTAGCTCCGAGGATTTGCAGCTTCATGGGGTGTTGGGGGACTTCTATTTGCGTTTCAACGCGCAAAACCTTGCAAATGTCAACCGCATCGTAGAGCAGTATCGTGGCAGCAAGCTCACACATCTCTTTGCAGCCCTGGCCAACAAATACAGTTTGCCAGCGCCAGAAGTCATTGAGCTTGTTGCATCGTCGTTGTATGTAAGCTCGCCATTTGAACTTCCCGAAGCAGAGTCGCAGAAGCTGGAAGTCTACTTGCAGAAGATGCCAGGCACGGACGGCATGGATGCTAGTGGTGGGAGTCGCATCGACGATCCTGACCTTCTTAGCTCAGCCTTGCGGGCCCCAGCAGATGCTGCGTTGGCTGCTGCATCGTCAGCGCTGCTCCACTTCTTGTGCTTTCGAGGTATTTCCAGCAGCCACCTGCGACCACAGGTTTGGCAAGTTTTGCTGGGCATTCTACCACAGAATGCTGATACGGATACTGTGAAGGAAGAGAAGCGGAAGCTGTACGAGAGTCACAAGAGTTGCTTCTTAGTTCCAGGGAGGGACAAGCTGGAGATAAAGGCATCTGAGCGACGCCTGAACGAATCGCTCGAGCTGCTTTCCCAAATCCAGAAGGATGTGCAGCGAACTCGCCAGGAGGAGGAGCTTTTTCAGCGAGCAGCGACGCGAAACGCACTAATTTCTGCCTTGTTCGTGTACGCTCAGCTCAACGAAGCCAGATATGTGCAGGGCATGAATGAGATCCTGGCAACTTTTTTCTACGTGCTTGCCACTGCTGGTGAAGCAGAGTTTGCTGAGCACGATGCCTTCTGGTGCTTCAGCCATCTCATGCAGCTGATGAAGCCAGGCAGGTCAGCCACGTCCCCGAGATCAGCACATGTTCTGCTGACGTCTGCAAAACCCCCCTCCCCCCCGCATTGCCAGCTGGTAGGTTTCATGACTGACGACCAGTCACCTGACGGCATGTACGCGCAAGTCAGCGCATGCGAGAGTTTGCTGAGAAGCAACCTGGCGGAGTTTTCAGAACGAGTTGTCCTGTGTCAGTTCAACCGTGGCAACAGTGTCTGTTACAAATAGATATGGCTCGGCAGGTCAGACTTTGAGTCAAATAACCATCCCAGAACTGTCCCGACAAACCCCAGCATCAGTAGCCAAGAATATGATCCGGCGCTTTCGCGTCATCTTGTCCAGCACGGCTCCCCTCACTTTGCTGTGGCCTTTCGGTGGTGCACTCTGCTGTTTGCGCGGCCCGGCTGCACCCAGAAATAGCGTAATGTTAAAAGAGATCATGGCCATCATCATCATCATCATCACCACCATCACCATCATCATCAGCACCATCATCAGCACCATCATCAGCACCATCACCATCATCATCATCATCGTGCAGTCGAGCTGCCAGGCTCCACAGGTTTGAGTGGGATGTTCTGCAAGACAGCATTCGAAGCACATGATAAACCTCGATTCCCAAGTTTCCATGCTCCTGGAAAGTAGAAAAGAGGACATCCTTTAAAGTGTCATGCGCAGCATGTTCCAAGTCCCCTCCTATCTGGGCTGCTTCCTGAGTGCCAACGGCCTGCAGGCAGGATGCGACCTTGCCGGACCTGCTTCGACTGTGGGATTCATTCATTGGTGACCCGCTTGGCTATGAGATGGTTGTCTACACCTGCCTTGCATCGTTGATGTCTTGTCGTGCCTCTTATGCATTGGCAGCACATGTTTCTTCCCAAAGCATACACGAGGCATTGGAAAATGCAAGCAAGGCTATGCTGAACAGCATTGCTGGGCCTGGTAGCTGAAAACTAAGGCGGCTAGGGAGGCTAGCGACAGGCTTTGTCAACGTTCTTACGAGGGGAGGATCTGGCCTTCGGAGTCCGAGGAAGCCTTTTGAAACCGACAGGTGACGACTTGCTGGCCGCGGATGACGAGTTCCAACTGGCTGAGATCATGCGCGGAGCGCCACGTAGGGATATCCAAGGCTTGCAGAGGCGTGCCACGCTCAAATGTTCATGGGATCCTGATGATTGAGAAGCAGGCTAGGATGAGGTCATCAGTCTTGGTGTTCTCTGAGTTCTGCCAGGCGGTCGTGGGCCATTTGCGCATTGGAGCGCCGATCGCTGCTTGCCTGAATAATACTTGAGTCAGTGAGCGAGAGAAAGAGTGGAGAGGAAGAATAAGAGGAAAAAGAAGAGGAAGAAGAAGAGGAAGAAGAAGAGGAAAAAGAAGAGGAAAAAGAAGAGGAAAAAGAAGAGGAACAAGAAGAGGGCAGAAAGAAAGACACTGGACTTGCACCACCCAGACTATCACTGGGTCGTGCATATTTTCGCATCAGCCGTAAAAAACGATGAACGAACAACCGCACGAAGTGGCTTCGACAGCTCTGGAATCAATCCCAACCTCCCCACCTGGGGACAAGACGTCCGTCAGCAGACCCTTCGGGCTGCGTAGAAGAAGGCTACAAACACGTATGTTTGGATAGGGATTGGAGCAAAAAATGGGAGGGGAACACTACGCCGCCAGCCTAAACCAAAGACGCCGTGAAAGTCGTGTTTTTGGTAAAAGGGTGAACACACTTTTCCACT